ACCCCGATCAGTCTACGAGAATATTCACTACTTACTTGAATGCGGGGGTAATAAGGATATACCAGAGGAAATGAGAATATGCTTTCCTTGGAACTTGTGGCAATTGTGGAAGAACCGAAATCTGTTTCTCTTTGAGGGGAGACGATTCACGACAATGGAGACCGCAGCAAAGGTATGAGAGGACACAAATGATAACACCGTATTTTGACCACTTTTATGGATCGTTTTAAAATACTTTTTCTATGTTTTTAATTGCTTTTAAGTACTTTTATTACGTTTTTCTAGTATTTGTAGTTCCAAGACTCTTTTCAGGTAACTTAGGGAAAAGTTTAACAAAATGGATAAAAAACCAGATTTCAGCTCAAAGTCAAACCGTCAGAAGTTCACCCCCGATTGAAGGCCTTCTCACCGTCTGATCCAGCTCAAATTTGGAGATCTTAAATATGGAAGTATCAGCTTTCCAGCACACTTTACAGCTTGGCAATCCAACGGTTCAATCAAAAGATACGCGAAGAGCAAGATGTCCCGTAAACCAGCCGGCAAGCGTCTCCACCCGCGGCCAACAGGTCATTCCCCGCGGTCACAACCACCGCGACTGCGGCCAGCCATCCATTCTCCGCGGTCACGCACATCCTGACCGCGGCCAGCTAACTCCGACTTTGAAGGCCCATTTTTGAAGCCCGTATCATTTTCCCAGCCTCAATTCCGGAACCCTAGACACCAGAGAGTATTGGAGACTATAAATACATGTCATTTAGGTCGTTTTTAAGGAGAGAAGAGGTGAGACCAAATACTTTACAGAAATTTTACTTTAAGCTTTGTTTTTAGGTTTTAGGGAGAGAGAGATCTGTCTCTTGAACCCTTGTTCTTTCTTTTTCAATTTCGGTTTCTATTCTACTTTTTAATACTATATTTTTGATTTCGTTTATTATGTCTGAGTAGTTTTATTGTTGGGTCTAAGGGATTTTCGATGGGGTTATATATGTTCGGTGAGGATTCCATGAGCTTTTGAGCCGAATCTTAGAACTTTTTTTTTCTGAATTCGTTTTTACTGCATGAGAGTAGCGTCATGAACTACAATCTGATCCAGATGCTTGGTGACACGAAAGTGTTCATCAGGTGTCAGATCTAGTTTGGGAGAGCAAAACAAACATAGGAGTGGAAACCTACCTATGGGCGATGTGTGAATGCTGACGAGTCTTAAACATAATGCATCTCTTCTTTTCCAGGGCCAGAGTGGAAACCTACTGGTCAGGGTTGAGAGAGATAGTTGTCTATGATCACGATAGTTGCGTATTCATACGTACATGACTCCAGTTCGAAAAGTTTAAGCTAAGATCTTATCAAATTTACTCTCTAGCAATGTTTTGAATCGTTCATACCCCTGAGAAAACTTCCCTGAACCCCATCGCCTCTTTTCTTATAGATTTACACCGATTTTTATTCAAGCTTTAGTCTAGTTTACTTACTCTTTCAATCGATTTTTACTTAGCAATTAGGTTTAGCCGTTTTTCTTGTTTTCACCCGTTTTCGTTAAGTTTAGTTATTAGGTCATTTTAATTCCCGTAGTTTCTCTTTAAAATTTGTTTTTACGTTTTAAACACACCGCCAAAACCCTCACAAAACTCGCCTGGTTCTAGACTTTCTTACTTTATATTTCTTTCGAAGGCTTTTGCAGGAAAGATCCTCCTTCCTTGTGGATTCGATCCCTAAGTACTACAATCGATCAGCTGTGCACTTGCGGCTATTGATTTCATTTAGTGTAAAACTTGACAACCCTCAACACGACAGCACATCAAGTTTTTGGCGCCGTTGCCGGGGAAGGCACACGTTTTCTTTTCTGCAAAACCCTAAGAAAGGTTGGTAAATCGACTCTAGAACCACTTTTTCTGCATATTTCCATTTTTCGGTTATTTTGTTTCCATTTCAGAAGATATGGATCCTATAAATCGAAATCCACACTATGAGGAAGATTTCTATAACACTCCTCAAGCCACCAGACGCAGAGAATAACACCAAGCCCGAGATCTTACCTACATGGATCGATACAGCCAGCCAAATCATCCGTACCACCGGCGCAGAGAGCCTGTTCGACGCCGGAAAGATCCTTATGGTCCTCCTCCGACCTACTTCGAGCCACACGCCTATAATCCTCCAATGCAGAACCCTAGTCACCAAGAGGAAAACTTGAGGATTAGCAGACGTTTGGGACGCCTCGAAGGAATGATAAACCAGTTCCTTGATCAGCAGATTCTCACCGAAAACACCCTGCTTAAGAGAATTGATTCAATCTCTGAAGAGTTCAACAGTAAATTCGATGATCTGGCCAATCATGTTCGAGTTCTGGAAGAACAAACCCACAAGGACGCACAAACACTAGCTGGGATGATCCACCAAGTCGCAACAGAGCAGACAAGACAAGGGTATGACATCATACAAAACTCAAACGATATTGTCGAATCGAAGCAGGAGATTAAAGAAGTCAGAGAATCCGCCTCCTGGTATAGAGAGAAGACAGACGAAGAGTTGCAGGAGATCGAGCACAGGCTGAACAAACTCGAGCTCAAAGCACGGGAGATTGATGCAAGAATGGAACAGATGCCCATCATTGAGCAAATTGAGAGATTTTCTAAGAAATCTCCCAAAGATCCTGATGAAGATGCACAACAACACCCTGGTATGAGTTCATATGATGCTGTTCTACCAAATAAAGAAGCTGGAGAAGTTCGTGTCAAGTACAAGAAGGAAGAAACGGACTATGAGCAAATTATATTCGGAGCCGCGGGTCCGAGCGTTCCGACCGCTGCCAAGGCTCCTTTTCCCGCGGTCGCGACACCTCTGACCGTGGGAGTTGGTCGTTCAGATTCACCTCCAGGATTTGAGAGAAAAATAATACATCTTCTATCCCAACTTCAACCTCCAGCACCTAAAAAAGCAACTCAGGAAGCAGAAAACCAAGTTTCAGATGAAGAAACAGATTGGCAGGAATCATTACCTTGTATGATGGCAAAGGAATGTGTTGAAGATTCAGCTGACTCTTCAATTCAAGAAGGCCCGATATGCAGCAAGATAAAGATGCCATACATCGATTCAATCATTGAATACGACGCTGCAGCTTTTTTTTGTGAATCCTATTCTGCGTTTGAAACACCAACCAACACCTACAGAGAAAGGCAAGTTCGAATTCTCCATAAGGTCAAGACTACATGTCAGTTCCTTATCTCTTGTTCTATTAGAGGAGAAATGTTTAAAAACGTGCTTTGTGATTCTGGAGCTTGTCTTAACATGATATCCAAGGCAATTGCTTTGAGACTTGGTATTAAACACCTGCGCAGGACTAGAGCAAAGATTAGTCTAGCCGATGATTCCAATACAACGCCTCAAGGAATAGCTCATGAAATTCCTTTGAGAATAGGAGATTGCATAGTGCCTGTCGACTTCTACATTGTCGAAACGAGAGACGCAACATATCCAGTGATTCTTGGATGGTCTTTTCTAGCAACTTCCAGAGCTAAAATGGACTGGCCAAACCGGAGGATTTCATTTGCTAATATCGACAAAGATGTCTTCACAGAAGCTGTCCCATACAACAGCAAAGCAGGAAAACGTTCTGCAACAGAAGAGTTTTGGAATGATATAACAAATGAAGGAAGTACCAATGCAACCCAGATGATAGCTCCAAAAAATGGGAAGCGCCAGAGGGGAGTGATCTTAAATGCAATATCGGAGTTTCCTGGTCTAGAAGAACTAATATGGTGGGAGCTGCTTGGATTGTTAGGAACAACAAAGGTGATGCAATGATTCATAGTATAAGGGCGTTTAGCAACATCAGTAGCTTACTTGAAGCAAAGGAAAAGGCTTTATTGTGGTCCATTTAAAGTATGTGTAGTCTCAAAGTAAGGAAGGTTACCTTTGCTTCGGACGCTTCGGAAATGGTTGGAGCTATCCAACGACCAAAGGCTTGGCCAGCTTACCGTGGCATAGTAATTGATCTGCATGAAGCCTTGAAGGGGATTGATGAATGGAACTGGATCTTGGAATCGAAACAGACAAACTGATGTGCATCTCTTATAGCACGAAGTGTAACAACGGATAACAGATGGCAATCGTATGTGGCTCAGGGAGAACCGATGTGGCTAACGGAGATGATATCAGTAGAAAAACCTCTTACCTCGGTGTAAGAGTTGGTTTTTAAATTTATCGCTTGTTTCGTTATGTACGGATTTGGGTAGAACCTTGCTTCAATAAAACTATTCTTTCAGGGAAAAAAATTTGTTAGGTTTGTTATATTAATTAGGAAGATATTTCAGGAAATAATAAATATAAATTTTAAGGAAAAATATTTAAATTTTGATTCTTATGAATAAGAGGGAAGATATCTATTAGGTAATTAGAATATTGTGATTATATTCTCAATTTTTGTTAGATTGTTTTGGTAGTATCTACTTTTGTAAAGATTATGATATTTTGTATTTAACTATTTTACATTTTTGATGTCTTATATAACTATAAAAGAATATATATATATGTTAAATATATATTTAACATATATAAATCATTAGTATATTTATTTGTTCTTGCAAAATTAGATGATTGAATTGACTATTATAATTGGGGAAACGTTGATTGTGTAAAAAAATGATTTCTTTGAATATTCCACTAAATTCCATTGAAATTTTGTAAAACCAGAATTTATTTAATCCAGAATATACATTATTATGTGTGATTTAGTTGTTAATATTTTAACGTTAATTTCAATTATTTTATAATTTTTGGATATACAGATAATATATTGGGACCGATTATATTTGAGCATTAACAAATGTATTAGTGTAACATGGTTGTTGTTTTCTATTAAGAAAAATGATTAAGCTACTTATTTCAAGCACAAATAAATTTGAGAATAAAACCAAAAGAAAGTAGTGCAACAAACCAACCAAATCGTTTGAGAATAAGTTAAAAAAAACAAAAAAAAAAAACAAAATTTTTAAGGAGTGGATCATTTTTTAGTCTTCTCAAATTTCATCTTCTTGGATTTAATCTTCTCACCATCAACCTTTTCATCCTTAATCATCTCAAGCTTGATTGTTTTAGTGGAATGTTTATTCGTTGTGATGTATATCTCAGATGCATCTACAATATATTATGATCTTAACCTGCCAAAGACAATACACAAACGTAGGGTAGAAAAATAGTTATAACTAAATCAGAATCATTTTATATTAATCAATTAGATGACTAAGCAATGGATGTAGATATTAAGTTTGAGATTAGGTTGAATGCAGAATATGGCTGGAGATCAAGTAAAATTACTGATTTTTATCAAATCGAAGTAAGAACTATTACGTCAGAAGTCAGCTATAACTTTCTCAAGGAAAACTTCTCAAGCTATAAGAGCAAGGGCTAAACAGATCCTGGAAATCGAAAATGAAGGAGGAGTAGGCAAATACCTAGGCCTACCTGAGCATTTTGGAAGGAAGAAAAAAGATCTTTTCAGCTCTATTGTGGATCGAATAAGACAGAAAGCAATTGCTAGATCAACAAAACTCCTTTCCAGTGCGGGGAAGATGGTTCTCCTCAAATCTGTCCTATCGTCAATGCCAACCTATGCAATGTCTTGTTTCAAGCTCCCGATCAACCTATGCAACAGAATCCAGTCTGTGTTAACGAGATTCTGGTGGGACGCGGATCCAGATACTAAAAAGATGTGCTGGATCGCCTGGCACAGGCTCGCGAGAAGTAAAAAGGAAGGAGGACTGGGATTTCGAGAGATACAAACCTTTAATGACGCAATGCTAGCTAAATTGAGCTGGAGAATGCTAATGAACCCAGACTGTCTCCTGCACCGAATTCTAAAAGGGAAATACTTCATGAGCTCTAATTTCTTGGAGGCAGATTTGCAAGATGCATCATCACACGGATGGAAAGGAATAATAGTGGGAAGAGACTTACTGAAGAAAAGGCTGGGAAAAGCCATTGGTAATGGCAAAACAACAAGTCTATGAGAAGAAAACTGGATATCCACGTCCCAGCTCCGTAAGCCAATCGGGCCAGCCCTGGAACACGTTTACAATTTGAAAGTCTCAGACCTGATCAACGAAGATACAAAAGAATGGAAAGAAAATATGATCAGGGAGATACTACCCGAGTTTGAAACTGAGATAAAGTGCATCAAGCTAAGCCACACGGACGTGGAAGACAGATTCATCTGGACACCACATCCCTCCGGAAACTACACGACAAGATCGGGATACCATTCATCACTGCCACAACCGATCATGAACACACTCTCAACAGATATAAGAGAAGACTTTGATTGGAATAAGGAGATTTGCAAGAAGCGTGTTCAGAGAAATTAAAGCTGTTTCTATGGAAACTAGTGAAAAGAGCCTTACCGCTAGGAGACAACCTTGTCAAACAAAAGGTTATCTCGGATTCTTCCTGCATTCACTGTGGAGCCTCGGAATCAGAGGTACACCTATTCTTTCATTGTCCCTTTGCTGTGGAAATATGGAACCAGATCCCCACCTCGAGCTCACTTGACACAACCCAGATCCTGGATATCATTTCCGGGATTAGAGCCTCGCGACATCTGATCTGCCTCCCTCCTTCGGGAGTTGGTCGCGGACCTCTTTACCCCTGGATCCTGTGGAATATCTGGACATCACGGAACAGAAGAGTCTTTAATGAGAGAACGTTCACTCCACTAGAAACAATATCCATCATCGTCAAAGGAGCTAGAGAGTGGCAAGAAGCACAACCAGTAAAACAATCAATACCTGAATCAACGAGGAGAGCATGGAGACCACCAATCCCGACGAACTCGATCAGATGTTTTGTCGATGGAGCATGGAACAGTGCATCTCTCGCCGCAGGATTAGGCTGGGTTCTCTAAGACGAACAGGGAAACACCCTCCTCACAGGATCGGAAGTACATGCACCAGTGGGTTCTGCTCTGGTTGCAGAAGGGTTGGCACTCCGAAGGTCGCTTCAATCTGCACTGGATAGAGGCATTCGCCGAATGTGGATCGCTTCGGACTCCGAAAATCTCATCAAGAGCATCAATTTGGAGATCAACATAGCAGAGATCTACGGTGTGTTGCAAGACATCAAAAAGATGAAAAGATCTTTTGATTTTGTGGACTTTGTGTTTATTCCCCGTGAAACTAATTCTTTGGCGGATCGTGTAGCAAAAAACTGTTTGTGGGCCTTTTCTGAGACCCGAGCCACTCTTGGGCCGCTTATGAATTAATCAAATGAAGGAACATTTTGATCAAAAAAAAAAAAATGGATCTAGATCTAAGCCTATGCCAGATGAAATTCTCACCGACTCTCACACTAATAGCTTACTTTTTTATGTTCAAATTATTATTTATAAATAACAGAAAGAGAAAAGATGAAAAAACTGAAGTCACTAAGTCAAAATATATACAAACAATTCTTAGGAAAAGTTATAGTATAAAATACTATAAGAACCGTTGTCAAAAGTCAAAGGAAAGCGTCAATATACTTCTCAAGCAAGGCGTTTCTACTACAAGAAAACACAGTTTTTGTGATTACCTTTTGTGACTCTTTTTTTTAGGTCGCAAAAGGAGAGACGATATTGTGACTATTTGCGACAAATAAGTGACTACTAACAATGCAGAGGGATAATAATCGCAAATTACAAACGAAACGGAGTAGTCAGAAAAGAGTCGCTAATTAGCTACTAATTAAAAACTGATAATCGACTGCATAGTTATGGTCGCAAAACAATCGGAAATTAAGATGAATTAGCGACTCTCATTTAAGTTGTAAAGTGGTGTCGCAAAAGTAGTTCCAAATATGTGACGGATTTGCAACGAAAAATATTTATACATATGTCGAGAAAATATATTTTAAATTTTTTTATAAAAGTCACAAAAATGTCTTAAAATATTCACTAATTTGCAACTGATTTGCGACCAACATCTGAAATTATGACAAATTTGCATCTGTTTAGCAACTCCACGCGACTTTTTATAAAAACTTCATCAATATGGAATTGTAGGTATGTTAATATGTACGTTTTTACATAGATTTGAACTACTATATACATTGAATCATGATCACAGAGAAAAAACTTTAAAATTCCTAAATATTAAACTTATGTTTGCACCTTCTCATGACATGTTAAAAGTGTATATGTGTTTTCTATAGAATGATTTTCAAAAATAGAAAATTTTCAAAATTTACTTACCATATCTTAGTTTACACTTTAAATATAGAGTTTAGTGTTAGAATAAGAATAAAAATTATTGTAAGTCATATTTATATTCTTCTAGGTTCTTAAAGATTATGATTTAGGGTATAGATTTGCGTAGAGTCACAAAACTGTAACACCCCGACCTTGGGTTCCAAAAGAAACCAGGCTAAACTGGTGGTATTAGCTATCCTAACCCAATAAATTCTGAATAACATCTTATTCTTATTCCAAAACCAAACCCAAATCCAAGCTTTACAATTAAAAATGAAATACTAAAAATGAATCCGAATAAAATAGAAAACATTGTTTTAAAAGAAAATATGAAATAGTTCTTAAAATATATCTCTGAAGGCACACCACACTAGAGCTACTCATCTAGTTCTTCCCAAACATCATCACAATCACATTCATTAGACTCACCTGCAATATGGATTTAGAAGAGAGGGGTGAGTAATTTGGGGAAATTACTCAGTGAGAACCAAACCAGGCACTCTTCCCACTCGATCATTTCCAACCAATATGACAAGTATAAACCCAACAAGCAACAAACAAGCACTTTAGAAATGCACAAACAACTATCAAAGAGGCGTCTCCAATCTTGTCAGGTCACACAGACAGGCTCCGCCAGGTCACATAGACAGGCTCTACATTGCCAGGTCACAGAAACAGGCACCGGGTCACACAGACAGGCTCAACATTGCCAGGTCACACAGACAAGCTATGCCAGGTCACAAAGACAGACATGGTGGTTCGTCTAACCACCTGACGATTAATTAATGCCACGGTCACACAGATGGCACTAATCCAGCAATCAATCCGTACCTCGGCACACCTCCACCGAGACGGACACCTGATCTAGCTATTTTTACCAAACACTAACCACAAAGCAGGGTGAACAATCAGCTATGCTGGTGCTTCCTCTAATGAAAATCCTAATTCATATTAATTATATATATATACATGGATCTATCTAGATGCACATGAAAACAACCTAGACTTATCAGATTTAGACTTCCCACACCAGAAGAAGATAAAAGAATAAGAAGAAGAACCTAGATCTAATCCTCACTTTAGCAACAAAGCAGATCTGGACACCCGACACGGAAATAGCGATATCTCCCGACACAGATCTCCGATCCGGATGAACTTAGTCTCTCTAGAAAGAAGACACTTGGGGCTTCACTTTGATAGGTTTTACGTCGCGTGGTTCCTCACGGATCGCGGGGAAATTTTCACACAAGACAGCGGCGGTTTCTCCTTCTTCTCTCTTTCTCTCTTTTCTTTGGGTGGCTAGGGTTTTTAGAAGACAAATGAGGCTCCTTCATTACAAAACATAAAAGCAGATAATTCAGTCTGGTCCAGTAAAGGCTAACTTCCTGCAAATAAAAGAACAAACAAAAACTAGAAAAGCTAACCTAGGTGGTGTTTTTTTTTATTTTTTTTAATCCAAAATTCACTTTTTTTTTGAAAATTAAAATTATTATTATTTTATTTTTAATCCAAAAATATTGGAAAAATATTTGAAAACTTTATTTTTTTAATGTATATATATATATATATATTTGAAATCCGATTCCCAACCCCACTACTCTAGACTTAACACTCTCTCTTTTCCTAGCTCGAACCTAAGCTCTGATACCAATTGTAACACCCTGACCCTGGGTTCCAAAGGAAACCAGGCTAAACCGGTGGTATTAGCTATCCTAAACCAATAAATTCTGAATAACATCTTATTCTTATTCCAAAACCAAACCCAAATCCAAGTCTTACAATTAAAAATGAAATACTAAAAATGAATCCGAATAAAATAGAAAACATTGTTTTAAAAGAAAATACGAAATAGTTCTTAAAATAAATAAAACTTCCTCCATCTCTGAAGGCACACCACACTAGAGCTACTCGTCTAGTTCTTCCCAAACATCATCACAATCACATTCATTAGACTCACCTGCAATATGGATTTAGAAGAGAAGGGTGAGTAATTTGGGGAAATTACTCAGTGAGAACCAAACCAGGCACTCTTCCCACTCGATCATTTCCAACCAATATGACAAGTATAAACCCAACAAGCAACAAACAAGCACTTTAGAAATGCACAAACAACTATCAAAGAGGCGTCTCCAATCTTGCCAGGTCACACAGACAGGCTCCGCCAGGTCACACAGACAGGCTCTACATCGCCAGGTCACAAATACAGGCACCAGGTCACACAGACAGGCTCAACATTGCCAGGTCACACAGACAGGCTATGTCAGGTCACAAAGACTGGCATGGTGGTTCGTCTAACCACCTGACGATGAATTAATGCCACGGTCACACAGACGGCACTAATCCAGCAATCAATTCGTACCTCGGCACACCTCCACCGAGACGGACACCTGATCTAGCTATTTTTACCAAACACTAACCACAAAGCAGGGTGAACAATCAGCTATGCTGGTGCTTCCTCTAATGAGAATCCTAATTCATATTAATTATATATATATATATATATATACATGGATCTATCTAGATGCACATGAAAACAACCTAGACTTATCAGATTTAGACTTCCCACACCAGAAGAAGATAAAAGAATAAGAACAAGAACCTAGATCTAATCCTCACTTTAGCAACAAAGCAGATTTGGACACCCAACACGGAAATAGCGATATCTCCCGGCACAGATCTCCGATCCGGATGAACTTAGTCTCTCTAGAAAGAAGACACTTGGGGCTTCACTTTGATAGGTTTTACGTCGCGTGGTTCCTCACGGATCGCGGGGAAATTTTCACACAAGACAGCGGCGGTTTCTCCTTCTTCTCTCTTTCTCTCTTTTCTTTGGGTGGCTAGGGTTTTTAGAAGACAAATGAGGCTCCTTCATTACAAAACATAAAAGCAGATAATTCAGTCTGGTCCAGTAAAGGCTAACTTCCTGCAAATAAAAGAACAAACAAAAACTAGAAAAGCTAACCTAGGTGGTGTTTTTTTTTATTTTTTTTAATCCAAAATTCACTTTTTTTTTGAAAATTAAAATTATTATTATTTTATTTTTAATCCAAAAATATTGGAAAAATATTTGAAAACTTTATTTTTTTAATGTATATATATATATATATATTTGAAATCCGATTCCCAACCCCACTACTCTAGACTTAACACTCTCTCTTTTCCTAGCTCGAACCTAAGCTCTGATACCAATTGTAACACCCTGACCCTGGGTTCCAAAGGAAACCAGGCTAAACCGGTGGTATTAGCTATCCTAAACCAATAAATTCTGAATAACATCTTATTCTTATTCCAAAACCAAACCCAAATCCAAGTCTTACAATTAAAAATGAAATACTAAAAATGAATCCGAATAAAATAGAAAACATTGTTTTAAAAGAAAATACGAAATAGTTCTTAAAATAAATAAAACTTCCTCCATCTCTGAAGGCACACCACACTAGAGCTACTCGTCTAGTTCTTCCCAAACATCATCACAATCACATTCATTAGACTCACCTGCAATATGGATTTAGAAGAGAAGGGTGAGTAATTTGGGGAAATTACTCAGTGAGAACCAAACCAGGCACTCTTCCCACTCGATCATTTCCAACCAATATGACAAGTATAAACCCAACAAGCAACAAACAAGCACTTTAGAAATGCACAAACAACTATCAAAGAGGCGTCTCCAATCTTGCCAGGTCACACAGACAGGCTCCGCCAGGTCACACAGACAGGCTCTACATCGCCAGGTCACAAATACAGGCACCAGGTCACACAGACAGGCTCAACATTGCCAGGTCACACAGACAGGCTATGTCAGGTCACAAAGACTGGCATGGTGGTTCGTCTAACCACCTGACGATGAATTAATGCCACGGTCACACAGACGGCACTAATCCAGCAATCAATTCGTACCTCGGCACACCTCCACCGAGACGGACACCTGATCTAGCTATTTTTACCAAACACTAACCACAAAGCAGGGTGAACAATCAGCTATGCTGGTGCTTCCTCTAATGAGAATCCTAATTCATATTAATTATATATATATATATATATATACATGGATCTATCTAGATGCACATGAAAACAACCTAGACTTATCAGATTTAGACTTCCCACACCAGAAGAAGATAAAAGAATAAGAACAAGAACCTAGATCTAATCCTCACTTTAGCAACAAAGCAGATTTGGACACCCAACACGGAAATAGCGATATCTCCCGGCACAGATCTCCGATCCGGATGAACTTAGTCTCTCTAGAAAGAAGACACTTGGGGCTTCACTTTGATAGGTTTTACGTCGCGTGGTTCCTCACGGATCGCGTGGTTCCTCACGGATCACTGGGAAATTGTCACACAAGACAGCGGCGGTTTCCCCTTCTTCTCTCTTTCTCTCTTTTATTTGGGTGGCTAGGGTTTTTAGAAGACAAATGAGGCTCCTTTTCATTTAATTTCCTATTTATACTAGGGTTGCTGGAGTGGGCTTGGCATTGATGGGTTTTCCCCAATTGGGCCGAAATTAGGATATTACAAAAACAGTCACAGTTTGTGATTACTTTGATACTGTTTTGCAGCCAAATAATATGAGATGATTTTGCGACCGTATCTTAAACGATTTGGTGAAATGTTACGCGGTAACTTATCCCTCTTTTTAACTATTTGCCACTAATATCTGCGATAATTTGGGACTCTTACAGGTTTTGGAAAATAAGTACTGGAAAATAATAAGTACTGGAAAATAAGTACCTTTTTCCTCAGAGCATCTCCAATTTTTTCCTCCATTTTTATCTCCAAAATGGAGTTGGATTTCTCTCCAATGTATTCCTCCATTTTCAACTCCAAAAAGAATATTTTCAGTATATTTTTCATTTTTATTTTATTGTTAATTATTAATAATGCACTTTATTTATAAAAATTACAAATAAATCCATTTATTTTTTTCAGTTAAAACTTCTATAAATTATAATATTATTTTAAATTCAGCAAATATAATATACAAATAATACTACACACTATTTAAAATAATAAAACAAAGTACATTTTAATTTTATGTATTTCTTATATATTTTTAATTTTATATTATTTCTAGTTTCAGTTAATCTTCTATATTTTTTTTTATTTTCAAATTTTAAATCTATCTATCTTTAATTCTAAATTAAATATATATAATATTAAATATTAAATTATAAATAATATAGTTTTAAGAATTAATGAAAAGTAAAGAACTATTTTGTAAATAAAAAAAGTTCACCTGTAAAATGGAGTTGAAAATGGGGTAAAAAATAACATTTCTCCATTTTACAGGTGAAAATGGAGTAGGGTTAGAGAAAAATTTAAAGAAATGGGGTAGGGTTGGAGATGACCTAAGTGATTCATTCTCTTCTCTCTTCCATCTTTCTCTCGTTCTCTTCTATCTCTCTCGTCTCTGGGATTTTTGTTTTTGTCTCCATTTTTTTCTTCAATCTATTTCTCTTGTTTCCTTTTTTATTTTACGCTCTGATTTCTCTGATTTCTCATCTCTATTCTCTACTTTTCATTCCCGATTCTGCTTTTCTGCTTTTCGATTGCTTCTCTTCTCTTCGTGGCTGTTAGGGCAAAGTCGAGTAGAGGTCGAGACTGAATCTTCCGGTACATTGGTTGATTGAGATTTTGTCATGTTTTTGATGATTTTGTCACAGCATTGATTTGATTATTATTGCAATTGGATTGTTTCTGGTTTATTGAAATCAGATCTGAATAAAGCTAGATTTTTTATTGTTGTGTTTATCTTAAATCTAATTAGAATCTTCTGGGTCAATTTTTCTATGAATTTGGGGAAGAACAGACATTTTTTTCCCGTTTCGGATTGAGATTTTGTGGAAAAATGTATAGATTCGATATTCCTCACAAGGCATAATATTCGATTGTTTTTGTAAGAAATCTCATTTTCCTCTGAACAAAATGATTGCCTATTTTACACATATGAGAAACTCATAAGCTGCTTCTTGTTTTTTCTTAGAAAATTCTTAGCTTGTGGATTTGTAAAACTTCTTCTTTTTTTCTTTAATGATTCTCTCCAAATGGGATTATTCTTGGGATAGTGTATGGTTAAAAGTTTAGTTTCTGTTGGTTTCATGATCCATTTGGTGGTTGTAACTTAAGTTAGAACTTAATGGTTTCTTGTGTTTAGGAGCATCGTGTTAAAACTGTGTGTGGTGTTTTATCCGTCATTGTCTATGGATACCGAGAAAAGCCAGTGTTAATTACTTATCCAGATATGACCCTTAACCGTAAGTCTAAAGAATCTTTACAGCCACTAATAAACGGCTAAATTATAGGATCCTTTTGTCTATTTTTTCCGAACTTCTAAGGTATGTTGCTTCTTCTTCAGATATGTCATGCTTCCAAGGATTATTCTTTTGCGCTGAAGCAGCTTCCTTGCTGCTACATAACTTCGTACTGGGTTTTGCTAAGGAGATCCGAACAAAAGTTTAATGCTCTGATACTGAAGAGGCTTTTCATGAGCAAAGTCAACAAGGCTCTTTCTCTCTATACTTGTCACTTTCATGAAGGGCAAGGTTTGATTCCAAACACTCTCACTCTCTTCCTCTATATACTCGTCTATCCCTATCCTTGGTCATTTTCTAACCCTATTTCTATGAATTCTGTTTTCGTTTGGCAAAGTTAAGTGTTTTGATGTTGCCGTATTATGTTGGTAAATGAGAATAAATGGCCACTCACTATCTTCTTTGATTGCATGATTAGAGTTTGTATTCTCTAGATTGTTTGGTTTTATGAGTACTGAAATGTTACGACTTTTAATTTCAGGAGGGTAAGATTGCTGTGTTGGTTGGTGTTGCTATTGATAACTTCTTGATTATGATGGCCTCAGTCGTTTGAAACAGTTTTTAGCCTTGAACAAGCTCAATCTCCGACAGCATATATGTCTTCTCAAGCACCGGAAACCGCAGCCACCAACGCAGCAGCCACATCAACACTCACAGCAGCAGGCAACGCACCAGGCACCCCACCAGAAACCTTACCATCCACCTCTCCATCTTAAAACTTTCATGTTTGAGATTATACATTTTGGATATTTTGTTTCATGTTTTCGATTTTCTTTGTGTAATAGAAACATATTGACTTTTTGGTTTTGGTATTTGTAGTAAGTTTCGAAAATCGAATCGGATTTAAGGAATTTATTTTTTTTTTCTTTTGTTTATTTACTGGTGGTCGCAAATTAGTCTCTAAATTATTACTGATAGTGGGTGTCACAAATTAGTCGCTCATATAAGACTACATCATAAAGTCATTATGTCGTCGCAAAAGAACGACGATGTTGCGACCAAATTATTTAGCGACGAGAAATTTGCGACTACTTTTTTTGGTCTCGAATTAGTCACAAATGAGTCATTTGCGACCATTTTGGGACTCTTTCGTGAGTCACAAAAACTGTGTGTTTTCTTGTAGAATTCACCACATCAATCTTAGCCACATCAATGAGAGTTTTATTGTCTATGTTTTTCAGAGTACTACAAACGCAAGTAAGACAGACACAAAAAACAGCTGTTAACTCAAATATAGAAACCAATTGGTTTCTGAAGTTCTTTGAAAGAGAGTTATGTTTTGTTGAGAAACTTACACTGCTAGGAAAAGGCTTACACAGTTCTTCCTCCCAGAGTTACCAGAAAAGTACAGGGGTTTGTTGTTGTGTTTATTTGGCATGTGCATTGGCATTTGTTGTTGTGTTTATTTGGCATGTCTCTGCTCCGGAAATTGAAGAACAAAAAAGGTTCGCATCAAGACACATAGTTTTTGCTGTGGAGGTCGAGGTTGCTGGCGATAAAAACTGGTCGTGTATTATCGATGGTGTTGTCGCCGGCGATGAGAGTGACGACGTTAACAGCATCGTGTTTGCAGATGGGTTTGGTACACGCCACGTGTTTTTCCTTAAGTCTCAAATCATTACGCGTGTGAGTACACGTGTTAGTTGTGTGTGTATGCTAAGCCTTTTGCAATTGGGCTTAATTATTATGTATTTTGTATGCTTTTAGCCTTGTGGGCTTAATAAAATGTTGGCCGACAAAAAAAAAAAAAAAAAACTGGTGTTATCGACTAATTTTATAAACTATAAATATGTGAGTTAACTATTTGACCAAAAAAAGATATGTGAGTTAATGTTTTATATTTTTCAAATATTCATTAATTAAATACTTTCCAAAATTTAATATCATTAATTAGTTTCCTAAATCTCAGAGAGAAGAAGATTTCGGAGACAATTAGAAGCATTTAAAATCGAATATAATGGAAATCATATTTAAACCACTTTCCTAAATCTCAGAGAGGAGAAGATCTTGGAGACAATGAAATAATATTTAAATTTAATATCATTTAAACTACTTTTCTAAATTTCAGAGAGAAGAAAATCTCGGAAACAATTAAAAACATTTGAAATTGAATATAATGGAAAAATATTTATTTGCTTTGTAGAGAAAGATTTGTTGGTGTGACCCACATTTATTTCAAATATTTCATAAGCGATTATATTTAAAAAATTAAAAATTGTCGAAAATACAAAACGGGTTAAGATTTAGGATCTGTGTCCTTCTAAACGGATCATTTAAAAGGACACGGATCCTCTTTGGTTTGAGTTTTTTTTTTTTAGGAATACATTTTTATATAATAGCATTCATTGTAATATATCACGTAACACCAAGGTCAATTTCCTAAATGTACTTCTCCTTTAATATTATAAGATACTCTTGGTCCGAGTTTGAATCGCACTCTTAACAAATAACCAATATTTTCAATAGTCTATACAGTTAAATGTATTATATTTGTAACAAATTATTGAATTACCTCTTTAGCATCACTGGTTCTTCCTATAAGCTTCTATATCTTTTGTCCGAATTCAAATCGCACTCTGAGAATCAATTTTTTTTATTAACATTCTATACAGTTAAATGTATCATATCTGGCTCTGCAACAAATTATTGGATTATCTCCTTAGCATCACCAGTTTCGGTTTTAAGCTTCTATACTCTTTGTTTTGGGTTCGAATCCCACCCTTGGCTGAGATTTTTTTTTTTTTTCAAATCCTTCTAAAATAAAAGGGTTCATCGACGAATCAATAAATGCTCTTTTGAAACCCAGAAAATTTAGGAACCCTACTCGTTAGTGAACCCATGAAAAATACCCCTTTTTAATTGACCTCACCTCTGTTTTCTCATCCACAAAGGTAAGTACTGCCGTTTTGGAGATTCCAACACCTACATATGTTTCATCGATTCCATTGTTGATAGAATACGTTAAACTTCTACGATTTGTCTAATTTTGAGATATGTAGGCGATCAGAAACATCTCATCAGGTTCATCATTGAAATTAACAAGAAGGATCTTGAGACAATGTGTTTGTGGAGAAAAAATGATATTACATGTGTCAGTAACAGAGAAGAATCCTAATCGCAAGTTCTATAAATGCGCTGCTGCAAAACAAGGTGAGTACGGTCATGTTTTCAAATGGGGCAAAGAAGCTCAGTTGGAGGAATTCGATATACTATCCAAGAATCAGATGATATTGTTCGAGGACATAACAAATATCATCATTGCAGAGAAGAATTTAATGAATAAATTTTTGAAGATCATGGAGAAAAACCAGAAGTTGGAACATCAGTTAACAGGTCTGAAGTCATCACTAAAAAAATTGTTTTCTTCTCAGTCGTTGTTGTTTGTGGATGTGTTTGTCATTGTACCTTATAGGAGAAGGATGTCCTTGTTTTTGAAGTCACTTCTGAATCAATGGTTAATGAATAATGTTTTACTTTTAAACATGCAGGATTGATCGATCACTTATTTAAATCTTCATCAATATTTATTTTCTCTCTTAATATAAAAAGAGAAGCAAGGGCTATATTAACTAGAAAATATGTAATTTTCTTTGAACATAAAAGTGCTTATAATATTACAAACAAAAATTCATGAATCTTAACAACAAAACTTCAGTGTCGAACATATTCTATTTTGACAACATCTGAGCACTCTAACTTTGGAGGTATATACTTTGACATCTGCTCAATCAAGACTGGGTCATGTACTGCTTTCCAAAGATCATAGGGGATCTTTATCCGTGCCTTGTGAATGTAACTGTCATGGAGAAAAGACAGGTTTAGTCCAAGCGTATGACACTCTATGAATTTTAGCGCATAGACGCCGCAAGCACATAAGCTCACGTTAATCCCAGGCCTCATCAGAGCATACTTCACTGGATAAAGTTTAATAAGCGTATGTTTCTTCTCCTTTTATCCCTGAACTTCGTTCATAATTTGAGGGATGATGTGTGCAAATGCATTGACATACTAGCTGGATCTGCTACCTGAGCAATCAAAAACTTCAACTGATCTCATCTGAAACTTAATGCACATAAATAACCAGTGGTTGTTATGGACATGGACTGGAGTTTATACAGGATCGACGTTGATACCCCAAATTTTGCTTGTTCTTCCATGTGACGGAAGCTCTCCTAATCCATACTGTATGAGCAAGCGGGTCCAACTGGTATTTTTTTTATTCTTTAGCATGTGTTTGCACGCAGCACCAATTTGTACGCTGAACATATATGTCATGAAGCTAACACAATCATGTTGGAAGCAGCCCAAAGAGGTGTACTCTTGAAATAAGTACATAACTCCATCCATTTCCTGCAGAATAAACATCTGATTAACAACATTGTCGAAATTGAACGCTTACTTCTTTTGTAAAAATATAGTCTACTAGATACATACCGGTGTACGCAACCATTTTCTTCTAGTTATGATCCAATCAGCTACGTCAGTGATATACACGAGCGGACGAACCTTTAAGACTTTGAAATAATTAAAAAAATTAAAAAATTAATTATTTTGTCAAAATAACCCAAATGAATAAGTTCACTATTTTCGAAAATGTAAATGTGTACGAGTACTTACTCGCGCCTCTGAGACCACTTATTTACTCATTCCCACTTACTTTCTGTCACACGAACCAAAGGGTAATCTGCATCATGTGGCTGCGTTGGATCATAATCAGCTACAAACGAAGATTGAGAGAGTTTGGCAAGTGTTTGTTTGAGTAAAGCTTCTTTAGGATCCATTTCAAGGTAGATATCTGCATTTTGACTGAGAACATCATAGAGATATTCTCGTTTACTTCTTCCTGCTAATGCATAACAAATAAAAAAGTAGTTCTTGCATCAATAACTTAAATCCAAAGCTAGAAAAAAAAACTAAAGTTATGATATAATAACAAATGTTCCAAATACAGATATATACTTACAAGTTCAAGACAAAAAAAAAATATTACACGTCTCAAACTATGTAGACACACGTATTACATTTTACACGTATTCAATTTTAACAACCATATTATGATAGTATTTAACAAACCACATCATGCCTTAAACAAAGATATTACATCCGACTATTTTGCATCAGGACTTGGAAGTTCTAGGCTTTCTTATCTTTTTTGAAGGGTGAGAAGTGTCCGCCTTGCTTGGAATAGAACCTGCAATCTCGTTGTACTTTTGGGAACACCAACTCTTGACGCTTTAGATGCGTTCCAAACAGTACTTGTAGACGCTTTTGCAGCTAAAGGAATGACAGTGGCTGATGTATCTGCGAGTGTGGGAACAGCACTGGTAGTTGCTTTTGCAGCTAACGGAATGACAGTAGCTGATGGTTTAAAGAGTGTGGGAACAACAGATGATGATGCTTTTGCGGTGGTGGGAGTAGCACTCATAAATCCAACTGTTTGGATGGACTCCATAATCTTATTCTCAAGCATCTCCACTCGATAATCCATTTTCTTTTCAAACATCTCCACTCGGATATCAATCTTTCCGTCAAGTCTCTCTTCCAAAACTTTGAACGAGGCTTGAAAGAGTCCTTGAATAAATGAAATTATGTCTTCATCAATGGCTTTTGCAGCTGTTCACACAACAACCTCTGCTTGCGTAATTCTGCACCAGGATCAGCGATCCTTTTCTGGTCTTAACTCGAACCTGTAATCGAGCTATATATCTAGAGCACTTGGTGTCCTAACCTCGCTTGCAACATCGACATTCTCACACTCTTCCTCTGTTGGTTCCTCATTCCCCTCAGAAGATGCTTGTGTTACTTCACTGTTGATTGCTATATTCAACTATTCGAAGTTGGTCCGGTAATTTGAGTTCGAAAGATCTTAAGTTGATCAGATTTTATTAAGTTCTTAGTTACAGTTCGTTCAGTTCGGAGGATTCTCAGCGAACTCAATACAATGTTCAGGTCTCTATTCTCCGGGTCCGAAAAAGATCCCTTCTACAGTAACAATTCTACTATTTATAGTACACAAGCGAGGAGACGTTCTAGGGCTTCTCGTTCAGCTCTCACCGCCTCTCGTCGCTGGACCTCTCTCTAATGGGCCGCGCTGTCAGGTCAGGCCCACTTCAGCTAAGACCATCGTAAACCGGGGTCAGTTGGGCCGGTCTCGGTCTCTAACCGGTCCGGACCAGGGAGCGGAGCGTACCACCAACAGTATGTCCCCCCTCCCAGTTCGGTAAATGGACCTGACTGACTTTTCCCGAATTAGAGTTAGATCGGTTTTAGGCTGAGGTCGGTGACGTTGAGTCCTCGGCTTACACCCTTCGTCGTCCCTGGTGCCTTGGCAAAGGTAATTAAGTATTTTCGCTTGCGGGGAACTGAAAAGACGCGTCAGTTTAGGCGAGAAATGGCGACGTTACAAGGCGCGGAACTCGAAAAGTCGCAATGATTCGCTTTTTTTCTATAAATAGGGTTCAGCTCTCCCCATTTCCTACTTTCGCTCCTACTGCCAAGGTATTTGCTCTCCTTTCTCTCTAAATTTTCTTCTTTCTCTCTCTAGAGTTTCCGGTCGCCGTCCGCCATGCTCTCTCGTCGACGATCATTCTCTCGAGCTCTCCGACGATGTCTTCCGGCTCTTCTTCTAATTCCGAGGTCGCGATCCTTCCCGAACACCGCAGGGAGGAAACTTCTACCGAGATCTCGAGCTCGGGATCTACGGAGCATTCCTCATATGCTTCTTTGGTTCGGAAGAACTCTCGGGTCGTCGAGGTCGGCTCTGGTAGCCGAGTTCCAATTCGGGCTCCGGAACGGATGGATCCAAATCTCCGCGAGCCTGAGGGCCAAGTTCCTGCTGATTTGGTCCTGGAACGGGAGCCTGACGTGAAGACAGACGAGGACGCTCCGTTGCGCGAGGTCGGGGATGGAGGGGCGCAGGATCCCAATGACGACGATATGATGCCGATCGCGGATCGGCCGTGTATATGTGCCCCGGTAAAATCCACACTGTCATCTCCAGAGACAGTTCGGGCTGCTATGCTGATCGGCGGAGCCCCTCCCGGAATCATTATCCAGGTTCCTGAGCCGGATGAGCGTCCATGGGATGCACCCGAGGACTTCATCTGCGTCTATGAAGCCTATTTTCGCGAGGCCGGGTTTAAATTTCCCCTGCCTCGCTTGTTGTTTGCTTACTGCAATCGTCGCGGGTGCGCGATCTCGCAGCTTCAGCCGGCGTCAATAGTGAATTTTTGTCGGGATTCTCCAGCTCGGGCGCGACATCCGGGCTCACATCAACGTGGCTCAATTCGAGGAGCTCTTTATTATGAAGGTCTCGGCGGCGAAGAGTTGGTTTATGTCGGTGAATTGCAACCCGAAGTTCGACCTGGTGACTGGGAACAAGGCTAGCAAGTTTCCGAACTGGGACCAAAGCTACTTCTTTGTCCGCGTGGATTCGATATCTGCTGAGAATCCGGAGAGCACGTTCCGGACTGGCTGGAGTGTCGATTTTGGTACATATCTCACGGTTAACTCCTCTGTTTTTTGGTCGGTACTAACAACGTTTTTGTGTTTATGCAGATCGCCACGTTCCAGGATTTATTCAGCGCTCCCTCACGTCCGACCTTGCGAAGCAGTTAAGTGCCGCCGGACAGCGCCGTTGGCCACTTGCCTACCGAGAGAAGATTGACCGTCGGATAAAGAGAGCTCAGGACAGAGGTATGAGTTCTCGGATCGTCTCGAATTTGTTATTATTCGGATTATGGTTAACACTTGTCTTCTGTAGCAAAAAATAAGATGGAACCCAGCTCGTCGAGGCCGGAACCGAAGAAGAGGAAAACGAAGAAAGTCAGCAAGTCAAGTCGGAGAAGGATGGCGTTCGACAGGTCAGATATCCCAATAATGGACTTTGGCGCTGATGAGGAAGACGACAACGCCCCAATCGACATCGTCGGTCTCGATGGGAACGAGGCCGGTGACGGTGCTGAAGCTGTTATCGAGGACGAGGTCGATAATGTCCCGGTCGGCACAGTTGACCCCCTGATCCCGGTTGCGGAACCGGAGGGCGATGTGGCGGGAACTAGTGTTCCCGAGGCAACTCCTCAGCCTCAAATGGAAGAGGGGGAAATTGGTGAGCAGGAAGAAGACGAGCTCACCATCGCCGACCGAGCCCGTAGGAAGAAGGGCAAGTCTAAGAAGTCGTCTCGGAAGAGGGATGGCGAGCCCGAGACGGCTGCGAGTGAGGGGACTTTGGTCCTTCGCGACTCGCCTAACGCTTCTCAGGTTCCTCCAGCGGATCCGGCTGCTGAGACCGAGAACCCGAGGTCGTCCAAAAGGCGCCGGACTTCCGACTCGTCCTCTTTCTCGGTCCGACTTAAGTACAACAAGGACCGGTCTTTCTTCGACGACTCGTCGGCCTGCGCCGAGCTCTTCAGGCAGATCGTGTCGGCCTCGTCTCCGATGCCTGAGACGAAAGACCTCTTCCGTCCCAAGTCTTACGCTCGGGTCGCGAAATCTGCCTCTGCTGTAAGTTTTCCTCCGCCTTGAATACTTTAGCTTTTTTATTTTTGAAGTGTTTTGACTTGGGTTCTATTTTCAGCTTGTCTGCGATACCAATGAGCTCATTCGTGAGTACGACTCCGAGGTCGAGAGGCTGAGGAGGATCAATGCTGAGGTCGCTGCTGAGAGGGCGTCTCTGGAAACGTCGTACCGGCACGAAAATGAGAGGTACGAGGCTGCTGTACTGGGCTTTACTGAAAAGGAGAAGGAGAACGCGGCTCTGAAAGAGCAAGTCGAGGCTATGATGAAGCGAACTGTCGAGCTGGAGGGGGACGTGGACGCTCTGTCCAAATCGTTCAAGACAAGCGAGCTCGAGAAGCGGAGGTATCGGGACGCTGAGTCGAAGGGAAGGAAGATGCTGGCCGCCCTTAGAGGCAAGCGCGAGGGGAAGCTCTCCAAGATGAAGGACTTCATGGACAAGTCCGAACTCCGGAAGGCGCCATTCCTCAAACTCAACCAGGCGACCGCTCTAGTCGGCTTCTGCGACTTCCTTAAGCGGGAGCACAACATGATCGTCCCGTCTCACATCGTGGAGACGTATGAGCGCAGGATCAGGAACTGCACAAAGGAGGTCGATGGCATCCCCCTTCCGCGGTTCCAGAACGAAGATTTCCTCCTCCCAAGCGACGGCGACCTCATCCCGAGGATTGTGCTTCCACCGGGGACGCAGGTTCCAGAGGGCTTGGATCAGTTCGGCTCGAACTCCAAGTCGATCTCGGCTGATCGGGCGGCAAGCCTCAAGAGTCCGGCGTCCGTTGCTCGTCAATGAATCATCCTCTCAGTTTTTTTTTTTTTTTTTGATGTTGTAAAGACTTTTCTGCCCGCGTAGCTCGGGTTTTTTACTTAGTGTTTTATTTTGACCGCCGTTTTTAGGCGTTGTATTTGTTGCGGTCTAGTTCGGCAAACTCGGATATCTTTATGAAATGAACATGGTTTCCCTTTATCTCGACTTTTACTTAGAACTTTCTTTTGATATTTCACTGCGGACTGTTGGGAGTTCGGCTTGTTTTAATTAATTTTGGAGTTCGTGATGTTATTGCGACGATGCAGACGAACTCGGGGAACTCTTCGAGCTTGAATCGCGGTCGGCGGATTGCTGTTCGAAAGAGTGAGTGCGAGTTGGGCTCCGGCTTTGAATAGTGGGCACCGTGGGGGTGCGGACGAGACGGATCTCGGCTTTTGAGATCGTATTCATGGGGAATACTTAGTTCGATCTCCTGGCCGGGGAGTCGATTTTTGGAGTTAGTTATAGAAATTAAAAAGGAGGATTTTTATTGGATTTGTAGCTGGACTCGAAATCGAGCTGCCTACGTATCCTTTTGCAAGGGATCAAGCCACTCGTAGTTCAGTTTACAGGGGTGAGTTCGGCCGGAGCCGGACTGGTTTTTTTTTTTTTTTTTTGGGTCTGCGCGCTTGTTGGCTGGGACTTAGTAATAGTATCGCTTGAGATTGGCTGAGTTCCAGGATCGCGGGATCGGCGTTCCGTCGAGCTGCATGAGTTCGTAAACCCTAGGCTTGACGATTCTCATTATCTGATATGGACCTTCCCAGTTCGTTCCCAGTTTTCCTGCATTCAGCTCCTCAGTGTTCTGGAACACTTTGCGTAAGACGAGGTCGCCTTCATCGAAGTGCCGACCTCGGATTTTTTTGTTGTAGTACCGAGCAGCGAGGTTTTGATAGTTCTGAATTCGGAGGAGAGCTAAACAGCGTTGCTCTTCCAAGTTATCGAGGTTGTTGAGCATCATCTGGTCGTTGAAGTCGGGATCCTCGGGGAGCACTGAGTACCCTAGGGTTGGAATACTCACTTCTGCCGGGCAGAGGGCTTTGAGTCCGTACGCTAGGTAAAAAGGTGACTGTCCGGTCGATCGTCTTGGAGTAGTTCGGTGCGACCATAAGACTCCGTCGAGCTCGTCTGCCCAGGTACCTTTCTTAGCATCGAGACGTTTCTTTATGCCGTCCAGGATTGTCTTATTGGTTGCCTCGGCTTGGCCATTGCCTTGCGGATATCGCGGGGTAGAGAAACTAAGGCGGATTTTGAACTTTGCGCACCACTCATTGAACGTCCCTGCAATAAATTGAACTCCGTCTAGTGCGGTAATCTCCGAGTATGCTTCGGCCTCGACCCATTTGGTGAAGTAGTCAGTCATAATCAAGACATACTGCTTTTGATTTGTTGATCGGCATAAAGGGTCAACGATGTCCATAGCCCACCGCATAAATGGGTAAGGGGCCGTACTGGTTTGCAGCAGCTCGGTCGGCACGTTAATCATTGGGCCATGGCGCTGGCACTTATCGCACTTCCTGACAAACTTCTCGCAGTCCGCGTTCATCGTCGGCCAGAAATAGCTAGTTTTTTTTATTTTTAGAGCGAGAGATCGACCTCGGGAATGGTTGCCGCCAGACCCTTCATGGATTTCTCGCATGATTTCGATTGTTTCATTCCCGGAAACGCAGGTCAGGAGTACTCCGGATGCACTCCAACGGAACAGCTTATCTTTATGCATTGTGTAATGGGCAGCCCAGACTTTCAGACAGCGAGCAGCCCATTTGTCTTCGGGGACTTTGCCGTTGAGGAGGTACTCTCGCAGTTCGGCTGTCCAATCTTCGGCGGACTCGCTTTCCTGGCTTTCGCTGGTTGACGGACTGTGGAGTCCTTCGGTTATGTGCTCGAAGTCGTGATCGGCGGCTAGGTCTTCTGGATTGTGCTCGGCGTTTTCTTTAAGTTCCTGCTCGGCATTCTTGTTCGTCCGGGTCGACTTCCTGTTTTGCGTACTTGCCGAGGTCGGATTTTCGTCACAGTTCCGTCGGCGAGTAGCAACATTACATTTCAGTGCGGTTTGGATACTTGGTTCTGAGATACTTTCGACTGGGATCCTTCTCTTCATATGCGGGTCAGAACTGGATGTCAGGGCGGCTAACGCGTCGGCGGACGAGATCTCGCCGCGAGAGATTTTCGTGAGTTCGAACGTCTCAAACTTAGCGATGAGTACCTTAGTCGCTGTTAGATATGCGTCCATTCGTTCGTTCTTGGTCGTGTATTCTCCACTTAACTGGCTTGCGACGAGCTGCGAATCGCAGAAAGAGTGAAGATGTCGTACGCCGAGCTCGACAGCCAATCGTACGCCGTACTCAGATTCGTTGTTAGATGCTGGGAACTCGAGGCGGAACGACTGTTCGAGGATCTCGCCGTTAGGGGACTTGAGGCGGATTCCGACTCCTGATCCCCAGTGAGATGACGATTCGTCGACGTGCAGAATCCATAGTTCGCGAGGCGGCTGTTCGACGACGAACTCTTTGGGAAGTTCGATCAGAAAATCGGCGAGTACCTGGGATTTCGCGCTGGTTCGATTCTTGTACTCTATGTCGTATTCACTTAGTTCGACGGCCCACTTCGCGAGGCGACCTGATTGGCTTGGACTATGTAGTATGGTTCGGAGTGGCTGGTCGGTCAAGACCGTAATTGAATGAGTCTGGAAATATGGCCGAAGTTTCTGAGCAGAAACTACCATTGCAAGTGCCAATTTTTCTAAGGCCGGATACCTGGCCTCGGCGTCACTTAGCGATTTGCTGACATAGAATATTGGACGCTGTTCTCCCCTATCCTCGCGAACTAGAACACTGCTAACTACCGATGTCGAGATAGCGATGTATAAGAAGAGCGTCTCGCCGTGCTTGGGCTTAGCTAGAATGGGGGGGGGGTTGAGAGATACGTTTTCAGCTGCTTGAATGCGTCTTCGCACTCAGCGCTCTAGGTATGATGTTTGTTACCTCGTAACAACTGGTAGAAAGGCAGGCATTTATCCGTCGACCTGGAGATAAATCTGTTCAGGGCGGCGATTCGGCCTGTGAGTTTTTGCACTTCCCTTTTTGAAGTCGGAGAAGGTAGGTCTAGAACTGCGGATATCTGCTTCGGGTTAGCCTCGATGCCGCGCTCGGTGACGATGTAACCCAGGAATTCGCCTGCTGTCACGCCGAAGGTGCACTTGGCGGGGTTGAGTTTCATCCCGTACTCGTTCAGAATGTCGAAACACGTCGATAGGTGTGATATATGGTCCTTAGCGTGCAGGGATTTAACCAGCATGTCGTCGATGTATACTTCCATCGTTTTTCCGAGCTGACTGGCGAACATGCGGTTCACGAGTCTTTGATAGGTGGCTCCCGCGTTCTTGAGGCCGAACGGCATGACCTTATAACAGTAGATCCCTCGATCTGTAATGAACGAAGTCTTTTCCCGATCATCCGGATGCATTAGGATTTGGTTATACCCCGAAAAGGCATCCATGAAAGACAACAGTTCGTTGCCTGTAGTTGCCTCTACCAACCGATCAATGTGTGGCAGTGGGAAGCTATCTTTGGGACAAGCTTTGTTCAAGTCGGTAAAATCGACGCAGATCCTCCACTTTCCATTCTTTTTCTTCACGACTACCGGGTTTGCTAGCCAGTCCGGGTATCGAACCTCTGTGATCGAACCGGCCTTGAGTAACTTTTCGACCTCATCATTTACTGCTCGTGCCTTCTCGGGTCCGAGCTTGCGTCTCTTCTGTTTGATAGGTTTATATGTGGGATGGATGTTTAGCTCGTGGCAAGTGATGTCGGGATTGATTCCGGGCATGTCGCTGATATTCCATGCGAACGTGGAAACGTTTTTCTGGAGGAAACTGATGGGTGCTTCTCGGATACTGTTGTCGAGCTCGGCCCCTACGCCGACACATTTCGTTGGATCTGTTGGGTCAATGCCGACTTGGTCGACCTAGCTCTGCTTGGGTGGACCGAACTGGCTTTCTGCGGCCGTACGACCGTCCTGAAAGGGGCTTATGTCGCATGTCCGTGCCATGCTTAGTTTGCACTCAGTGAGATAGCATAATCGGGACGTGGTCTGGCTTCCTTTGAGTGTGAAAATCTCTGACGGAGTCGGGAACTTGATGCATTGATGGAACGTTGAAGCGACGGCATTCATGTCGAACAGCCAGAGCGTTCCCAAAATCGCATTGTATATCGCCGGTTTGTTGAGGACCAAGAATTTGATCATTCGAGCCGACCCGCCGACGTAGATGGGTATCTTCACTGTTCCTATTGTTCTTGTTTTCTCTCCGGTGAACCCGGTCAATGATTCCATGTAGGGCTTGATCTTGGAGTCCGGAAAATCCATATCCTTTAATGTTTCTTTGAATATGACGTTTACCGAGCTCCCTGTGTCGATTAAGATTCTGCTTACTTCGACATCTCCGAGCTGGAGTTCGACGACGAGGCAATCATTGTGAGGCATGTGCACTCCCCGCAGGTCGGCTTCGGTGAATAACAGTGGTACGGTTGTGACCGTTGTCTGGGATTGTGAACTCGACGCTTGCCGACTGTATTCTTTGAGGGCTCAGGCAGAGTAGTTGCATGATTCGAGGGCTCCCATAATCATATTGACCTTCTTCCTGGTTTTGGGCACGTTCGCCTCTCTATTAGGTGCTTCGCGGTCTCGTTTAGGGGGAGCGACCTGTTCATCATCGGAGTCGGTTGCCTTGGCAGCTTCTTGATTGCCAGGTTTGTTTGGTCGCGGGTTCGGCCGCCGAGGTCCTGGTTTAGGCAAATCCACGGTGTCGATCTCGCCCTTGCGGAACTGTTGAAGTAAGAAATCCCTCAAATATCGGCATTCCTCCGTGCTATGCCCATATCGCTCGTGATACTCGCAAAAACGCTCACTCAGTGGCGTATCGTCGTCCTTGTGCCATGTGTTCCAAGATTTTGGAGGTCGTCCTGTCCTCTGGTTCGACGGTCCTGCTTGGTTTACTACTCCGCGCGGTTTCCCGGGCTGGGCCTTCGTTTCCGAGCTCTCTTTGGGGGTTGGCGTTTGGCCTGACTTTAGGGTTGAATACTGCCGATCCTTGGCGGGTTCTTCTTCTTCTTCCGCGATGAAGATGTTTGACTTATGGAGCGCATCCTCGAGGGTGAGCGGTCTGTTCCTGCGAAGCTCTTTGTGAAAGGGGGATTTATACCACGTTTTCTGATACAAAGCCTCGAGAGCGGCTTCATCGTCCACTGTGCAGTGTGCTACGATCTGCTTGAAACGTGCCATGAAGTCTCGGAGCGACTCATTCTCGCCCTGTGATATCTCCCACAGCTCGGAGTTACGAGTTTTCTGTCCGATGAACATCGAGAAATGCTTTGCGAACTTTGTCGAGAGTTCATTGTAGTTGTCGATGGAGTCGGACTCCAATCTTGAGAACCAGTCTAGAGCAATGCCTTCGAGGTGTTCGACGAACAACTGGCATTGAATCACGTCCTTCTGTTCGGCCGAGGTAAACTTCAGTCGGTTAATTACGATACCGAACGAGGTAAGGAAATGCCTCGGATCGGAGTTCCCCTCGTACGATCGTAGCTTAAACATTTCTAAGTTTGGGACGGGGACGTTGGTGATTCGGGAAGTGAACGGTGTTTTCTGTGCTTCCCGGATTACACGGTCGATTTCGGGTGCCGAGCTGGTGGCTTGGTGAAACTTTGAACTGATCTCTCGCAGTTGAGCCTGCATCCGCTCAATCTCCAGGTCGCGTGCTGTTGGTTGAGCTCGCACGTGCTGAGATGGGCTCTCTGTCTGCTGGTACTGCTGAACTACTGACCGTGCCGCTGTGCATTGCGGGTCTCGCTCCTCTTGGAAGTCACTAATGAGGTTCCGTCTTCTGATTGGACTCTCTTGCTGTAGGCTGGAGATCTGTGCGGTGAGGGTTGCGAACTTCGCGTCGTTGCTTCTGACCAACTCTTGCATCTGTGCGGCGAAGGCGTTCATAAGCGCAGTTGGATCGAAGGCAGCTTGAGCTCGGATTGGTGAGGTCTGGTGCGCCCCGTCGCTTGAGCTCGGCTCCGTCCTGATTTGTTGCGCTTCCGATTGGGGTTGTACGGGGATGCACTCGCATTCCTCCATAGGCCCTCCGACCTGGTCGGCAGGTCCTCCGTCCTGGGTGATTCCATCTGCACAGGTCATCTGACTTCCGACCTGGACTGAGGTCGGTTGTCTATCATCACTTGTCATATCGTCTTGGCCGATTACCGAACCGGCCCCACGGTGGGCACCAATTGTTGATTGTTATATTCAACTATTCGAGGTCGGTCCGGTAATTTGAGTTCGAAAGATCTTAAGTTGATCAGATTTTATTAAGTTCTTAGTTACAGTTCGTTCAGTTCGGAGGATTCTCAGCGAACTCAATACAATGTTCAGGTCTCTATTCTCCGGGTCCGAAAAAGATCCCTTCTACAGTAACAATTCTACTATTTATAGTACACAAGCGAGAAAACGTTCTAGGGCTTCTCGTTTAGCTCTCACCGCCTCTCGTCGCTGGGCCTCTCTCTAATGGGCCGCGCTGTCAGGTCAGGCCCACTTCGGCTAAAACCATCGTAAAATGGGGTCAATTGGGCCGGTTTCGGTCTCTAACCGGTCCGGACCGGGGAGCGGAACGTACCACCAACATTCTTGTAGAGAAAAATGGATATTCTTAGCTCACGGATAACGCTATCGTAAGGATATAATAGCGTTTTTGTTAAACGCTATGACTGGAAGAGCTATAATAGGTCGACATCATACAATAACGTTTGTTTGACATGTTACTGTACGTTTTTTATTATTGTGTTATTCAAATGCTTTAATATATTACAATAACACAAGTTTAATGCTGTAATATATTGTTTTGTAGCAATTTTTTTTATGTATTAGTTCCACTAATAGTTCTTAAGTTCTGCTATTATATATTGTTTGCTATAGTATACCAATATATTTGAATTTTCTAGCATGTAATTAATTTGATATATATTTAAAAATGAGATATTATTCATTAATCACCAAACTTGTCTTACAAAACACAAGTCTTAACTTAAACCAAATTGAACTAACATGGAGACAAAGCAACATTTACTTCATATCCTTTGAACTTGGCAATACTCTCACTAGCTCCATATCAGATGCTCTGTAAATCTAGTGGACACACACAAAAAGAAAAAAAAAAGGGATACCTTCAAAATCATATATACAAAAAAAAGTTATACCTCCAAAAAAACTACTCACTCGATCTTGAACGTCCGGAGTAGCTTATTTTTTCAAAAGAAGACTAATCACTCCTTCATTTTGTAGATTCTATAGTGTTATGTAAAGAGTAAAGACTAGAAACCAGATTTGGCGACACCTGTATCTTATATATAAAAGTTGCTCAACTTTTTCTATATGCTTGACACATCAGCATTGGAGAAATTGACACATGTCACTTAAATTTTAATTAATAAAAATTTAATATTAAATTTTAAAACATTTAAAGAATATAAAAAGTTTGTTTTATTAATTAACTCTTAACTAATATTTATATTAATATTATACAAAAAATTTTGTTATAACTAATTAAAAATATTGATAGATATGTATTTCATTTTTATATAACTGTAAATTACTTAATAATATTCAATATATATTTTAAATTATTTTTTAAAGATTATTTATAATAAAATACTAATAAGTAACAAATGAAATGATGATTCTATTAATTTATTTTTTTTATTAATTGATTATTTTTTAATATTTGTGTAAATGTTAAACAAAATTTTATGTTATAACTAATTAAAAATATTGATGATATTTATTAATTTTAATATAACTCTAAATTATTAAATAATATTTAATTTTTTATTTTTTTTTGAATAAAATATTAACAAATAAAGAAATAACAAGTGATGATTATATTAATTTAATAAAAATATAAAAAAAATTGAAAAAATTGAAAATAAAAACCCGCACGTAATGTGCGGGTATTCACCTAGTGTTTTAAAAACAAAGCTAGAGTTTGCTCAAACTAGGCTACAAAGTCAACAACTTGCAATATTTGTTACGGTTTTAGCACAGCTTAAACTAACCCAGATTTGAAAAATACTTTAATACCTACCCTTCTCAACAGCCATAGTATGTCACTAAAACTTCATAAGTTTTAGAGAGGTAACGTGTAACATCACAACCCCGGGTCTTATGTGATAACCGAAAATCGGGCCTATTAGGTTGATGGTATAACCGCATTCGGTTAATCATCTGGTTTGGTCTAGTGATGAGCAGCAGGGATGTCAGGATGGAAAACGCTCGTGTAGCAACAATCACATTAGATAATAGTTCCAATGATAACTTGAAAGGAAAGAGGAGAGGTGAGTAATTGAATTACCCAGTAAGATGAACCATAGGAGGCTTATTATCACTTCCGTCATAAAATAACATAAAGATTAAGAAAAGTCTAATCCTAAAATAAGCTCAAACAGGACTCAATCCTATTACTCTAAAACAGCAAGAAACAATCATCCGGTTTACTAAATTTATTTTTCCGTCAATTCGCCTTTAACTCATCATCATTTAACTCATCATCATGGTACTAGCCATGACAAACTCCTTCATGCTCCAAGGCATGGCACAACTCCCGTCAGTTCTCCTCATCATGGTATTGGCCATGGCAAACTCTATGCATCTTTTAAGTTATTCAAACAAGCACTTTAATTCCCAAAAAAGAGCAAAGCTCTGTAGAGGATAGTATCCTATCTCGAGGAATCGGACTGAATCGGACTGCCATCCATGATATGCTGAATCAGACATATCACCAATTGGTCACACAGACATGCAGGTTACAAAGAGTTTGAGGAAATCGACACTAGACACAAGCCAAGAATAACATCAAGCAAAACAAAACACAAGAATGTTCAATGCTGGCGGCAAAGGAGGTTGCTTACCATGACAATTTCAGAACTCATGGCGGCAAATGCGTTTGGCCTTATCTCTGCCAATAAATCCGGCTACACCCAAACAAGCACCAAATGAAATTGAGATTAGAGAACCTCAGAATCAAAATTAGAAAATCCAAGAATCGAGCATGCAAAGGAGAATACACCATCAAACATTTTTTTATTTACCGGAAGAATTAGCCGGCAACGATAAACGGCGATGCAAGGAAGCGAGGAGGAAACTGTAAATCAACAAAAATCTGGCTGCACCAAAAAATAAAACCCCAAATCAATTGGGGATTTGTAAAACCTAGAATCAAAAATTGAATAAAAATATGGGAAGAAAAAGTGAACAACGCAAGCAGACGGAGGAGGAGGAGGAACAACGGCATTTTAGTTACCACAAGTAGTTGCCGGTAATCGAAGATGTGACGGAGGAGATGCGGTGAGGAGAAAATTGTCTGGGAAAAAGACCAGTTGTTGTGTCGTGTGTTGTGTAGAATTTGTTTTCTATTTTTTCTATTATATATAATAGAAATAATTTAATTTCTTATTTAGTTTTAATTTTACTAAAATATATAATAATAATCAATAATTTGTAAATTAGGGGATAAAACTGGATTATTATTATAAATATTAAAGGGATAAAAAGAACTAATATAATTTTAATTAGCATTATAAAAGCAATTCTCCTTACATATCCTTTTTTCATTAAATTAGAGTAATTTTAAACTTTCCAAGTCCAGACTAATCTGTAGCATAACAGCCGGAGTATACACCAAAAAATTCTCAAGCGTATTATGGTGGCCAAGCAAAATCGAACCCAGAGTTAGAAGAGGGTAAGCATATACTCAACTTTTTCCTAAATCACTGCTTGGTGGTCTCTCTACATATCCTTAGAAATGGTAAGTTTGGTAGGTTTTAAATCTCACTGCAACTTTTTTTAAAAAAAATTCTTTGTAAATTCAATAAAACTCTATGCAAATTCAACAAAATTCTATGTAAATTTAACAAAAATTACTACTTTTAAAATCAATCAACTCTATCTAAATTCAACTTGTGATTTTGGAAGTAGTAAAATGTTAAATGACATAAAATGAGAGCTTAGAGTTAGAGTAGAGTTCTATGTGTTGAAGTTAGGTTAGTAGACTATGGAATTTTAAGGAACAAAAAGGGAGCTTTAGTGATATACATTAGTCTACAATAAGGCCTAACTTTTCTTCTTTTTTTTTGTTTTGGAATTGACTAACTTATCTTTTCTTAATTAAGACCCAACATTAAATTCTTTGTATTTTCCTTTTAATCATTCTTCAGTTATCTTTATTTTCATGAAAAATATTTCTATCAAGGAAAAAATAATAAAAGATTTGATGAAACGACGAAGAAAAAGGAGAGTGTGCCGACAAAACAAAACAAAAAAGAAGATAATATGTTTGTCTATCAACATTAAAGGGTTGGTAGACTTTAGGTGTGTTTGGAAAAGCACATGATTAGAGACATATGGATAAGGACTGCATTTTTCATATGTTTCTTATTTGGCTCCTTATGTTTTGTCTAAATTTTCTTCCTTTTAATAATTATTTATTCTTCACTTCTCTACTTACCCCCCTATTTGCATTCTTGTCAATTATTTTTTTTGGATTTCTAAATATATTTAGCCGCTGAAATAATGTCATAAGAGAATATATTCACCATAGAAAAAACAGTAGAGATTAGAAACGGATAATTACTCGCCATCACTACATTAATTCATCGACCCATAAGCCATAACGAATATCACACTTAACCTAACCTTCTAAAAACTAACCTTCTAACACGAAACTAACACGAAAATAACAGCTCACTTACTACTAATCACTAATTACTATTTCAAAGCGAAACTGGCTTACGCTATGTCTACTTACTAATTACTATATTGCCTAACTATTACGTCAACGACGTATATAATTCAGAGGAGAATTTAAAAAAATAAAAAATATGTATTAGTAATGGAGCGAAAGTTTCTAGGATAGAAATAAATCTGCTGATTCTTAAAATATCCGAAAACTAAAGTTTGTGAATATCAAAACTTTTATTAAAAAACTTTTTTAAAAAAGTGTTAAAAACTGAATATAATAAAAGATCTAACGATTTATTTATAATGAATTTCAAAATTTTGAAACCTATAAAATTTAAAATAATCTTAATTAAATAAATAAAAGATAATAAGATGATATTTAAAAATATTTCAAATATCTCGCTGGGGTGTGTTTCTATATAAGAAAAGGAATTCATATTTTTATGTTTTTTTTTAAATATGTATATTTACTGTTTGGTGTAAATATCATTACTTTAAATATGCAAATGGCTACATCATACTTACAATATGCAAATGGTTAATATATTAAGTGGGATTGACTATTAGATTCTTTTAAAACCGTACCATTAAGTGTAATTGGATCCCACAAAAATATAGAAATTAAATAAGTCTAATTCCATTAGAAATTGTTACTCTACAAAATAAAAGAGGACTTCTGTAGAAAAAATATAGAGGAAAAATGTCTAATTCTACTCATTTTATTTATTTATTTATCACTCCTCTTATTCATTTTCATTCCTCTTCCTCACCATCATTTGCATCCAAAGTTTAGCAATCATTTTTACCGGCACAATTATAAATACATATATATTTTCACCTTTTCCGAATGAATACATATTTTGTCAAAATAATATAATTTCTACATAATGAAGTCAATACATCAATATAAGTTAGGCGATTATAAGTCCAATTTATGTGTGAGTTATTCTACTATAAAGTACCATGATGGCCTAATACATTATTCCTCAACTTACCTGTTGACCAACAAAAAAGGTTAGAACTACTAATTAGACCGCCGGGTGTGACTGGGCGGAGATCAAAAATAAGTCGGCTAAAAGCTTTTAACCGAACATGAGAAACTAAGTGTTTTGCGCAACTTTTTTGGTGTTAATTGTATCCACGCAACTTCCTCATATATGATATACCAATACCAGAAAACTTGAAAAGTCAACCCACTAATAAAGTAACGTGGAAAATATGAAATTTCTTTGCAGAGATTACGTGATCTCTGTACTAAGATAAGTTTCTTTATTCATTGAAAACAATAGAAACCCAATAAAAGGTGTAAAGACAGTGGTAGTGATATAAATAAATAATGTTTTTTGGCCAAAATACATATTAGAAAGGTTAAAATCTTTGAATGAGGGAAACAATTACGAATATGAGAGTCAAGTGTCTTTTGGTTCTTGAAGCAACTACAAAGTGTAAATTTTATTTGGCATTTAAAAACCCATTTGATCCTTTTTTATTAGAATATAAAATTTATTATTCAACATCAAAATAAATATTTACATCATAGGTTTTGATTTAATTTGACATAGTGTAAAAAGATAAAAATTCTCAGATTCTTATATATACTTGATTCTCAAACTATTTTAAAGTAAGTTGTGAAGTTGAAGTATCATAGTACAATTGCGGTTTGCCTTGTCTACGATCAAGCTGAGCAATGGTTTGAGCTGGTTTCAAATGGCCTTTATCATTTTATACTATATATACTTTGTTTTTATTCGTTTTAAAAAATTATACAGTTTATCCGTATTTTTTTTGTCGTCTATAGAGTTTATCCGTATAATATATGTTAAAGTGACACTCTTTTTTTAAAATGGTTATGAAATGAAAATGTTTTAATTCCAAGATCGTAATTATATTTTTGATGTCAGATTAAGTTTGTTGTTTCTTTAACCCAAAAAAGGAAAAACATTGGATGTCTATTTTTTCTTCCTTCTCGACAAAAAGAACCTTTTATCCTATGATAAAAAAAATCAAAGAGTACATAAAAAGAAAAGAAACCTTACAAACATAAGTGTTGAATAGAGCTGTGATGATAAGAAAAAGAAAATGTAGCCGTGTGTGTACGCGTGTGAATCCATTATCTAGAAAAACTAAAAAAAATCAAGAAGAATCATGCACCTTGAATTAGAATAGTCTAAAAGAGCAACGGTTGACTGAAACGTCGCCTTCTTTTTAATATCCATTTCTTTCATCAATTATTAATTCATTCATTCATTATATATATCTATCTCCCTAATTTCTTAATCATCTTGTTATAGTTTCTTTTTCACACACCAAAAAAAAAAAAAATTCATTCATTTTCCATGGCATCAAGAAACGTTGATTCAATCTCAACCCTTCATCCTGACATCATCCAAACCCAAATCTTGACCCGGCTCGACGGTCCGACGCTAGCCTCCACCGCATCAACCTCCTCTTATCTCCAAACTCTCTGCACGGAACAGAAACTCTGGCGCGAACTCTCCACCGCCACGTGGCCTTCTATCAATGATTCACGTGTGGTTCAAGCCATCTCATCTTTCCCTTCCGGTTACCGTTCCTTCTTCGCTGACTCGTACCCGTTCACTGAACACACGTGGCAGTCTGAAAATCAAGATCCACCAACGGCTGGATTAATCTCAGCCGTCGATCTTTATTACAGAGGAGAGCTAATCTACTCCAAGGTTCAAGAGATGGAAACAGAGGGATGGATTTTATCCACTCCGTTTCGGGTCGATATGCTCGACCTGAAAGAGTCTGTTCAAACCCGGATTCGATATCCGGGTGGGGATTACGAAGCGTGGGTTAAAGATATGGAAGAGAGCATGAAGCTTAACTGGATAGTGATCGATCCGATCAAGAAACGTGCTGCTAATATATCTAGCAGAAAGGCGGTGTCGGCAAAGCGGAACTGGCTGACGGGAGATTTAGAGATAAGATTTTCGACGGTGGCGGCAGCGATAGGGAAGAACGCGGTGGAAGTGGCGGCGGTTGTGTCGTGTGGATCGGCAGAGGCGTGGAAAGAGGTGGACGAGGAAGTGGGAGGAGAAGTGCACGTGAGGGACGTGAGGTTGCAAGTAGAGGACATAGAAGGAAAATGTTTGAAAGGGAGGGATAGTTTGGTAATTTTACAAGGGTTGTTGGAAGGGAAGAGATGTTGTAAAGATGGTGAGGAGAGAAGAAGAAGAAGAGGTAAAGAAAGGTATGAGGAATACGTGGAGATGAAGACACGGTGGAGAGAGAAGAAAGAGAGGATAGAGAAAGCTCAAGACACGGTTTGTATGGTCTTTGGTTTCTCTCTGTTTGTGCTTTTGTGGAGTTTTATTTTGTTAAGGTAAACACTTAAATAAGGTGAAACACAATAAAAAGAGAGACTATACACACACACTTACACTTCTTGGTCATCAAATGTTTTTTTTTTTTTTTGTTTCTCTTACTTTGTCATCTATTGATTTTATTAATAATCAAACATTGAGAAGTACAAATTCCGTTAGAATTCTTTATCGAAGACTAGGCCAACGAGTTTATAAAGTTTTCGGAGACAAAAACTTGTAAAAACAAACTTGACAATACACAAAATCTAAAAGCCAAACACCAAACTAAACTAGGAAACACAACTGCAACTCAAATTAGACCCAACATAAAAAAAAAACAGAAAAAAAAAACAAAAAATCATTAAAGTCTAAAGTTGAAATGCTTGACCAAAACGCTCTCACGACCAAACCAAGAAAATGCTGACATCGAAGTTGAGCCGAAAACTATAAAGCCTCGAAAAGAATAAAACTGTACAGAGTGACCTGAAGACCCAATAGTATATACAATAATATATAATCGAAACTTGTGTAAAAAGTTTGCAGAGACTCCAGAGGAAAAAACAAGAATAAAATGTGAGAGAACTTCAAGGCTGGGTTTAGTTTCTATAACCAATAATATAAAACCACAATCATCATTTTTGTCCACTCATTACACTCTTCCGTTATTCGTCATTTCCACACAATCATCCACACGTCATCATTTTCCCTTTGAAGCCGCCAAATATCAAAAACACAAACCTTTGCACGAAGCAAAGTACCTGCTCTTTTTCTCGCATTAATACTCTCCTCTGCTTTAGCATGTTTGAAAAGCAAAAGCATTTTTCGAAGTTCTTGAGGAAAAAAAAAAAAAACCAAGAAAATGTCAAAGGAAGCTGAGATGTCGATCGCTGTATCGGCGTTGTTCCCTGGATTCAAATTCTCTCCCACCGATGTCGAACTCATTTCTTATTACCTACGCCGTAAAATTGATGGCGACGAAGACTCAGTCGCCGTCATCGCAGAGGCCGAGATTTACAAGTTCGAACCGTGGGACTTGCCAGGTTTCTTCACCATTTTCTCATTCTTTATATAATATAGTCATGGAAAAAAAAATTATACATATTCTTTTTTGTCGTCGAAATAATACATATTTATCTTGATAATTCTAATTATGCGTTATATTAGAAATTTGGAATAGGTTAAATGGGAAAAAGAAATAATACATATTTATCTTAATAATTTGAACTCTGTGTTCAATAAAAGAAAAAGAGCATATGAAATGGGAAAAAAGTTTTGTTATTGTCATCGTTCTTTTTTTTTTTTAATGATTGTTATTGTTATTGTTATTGAATTGTTCTGTTTTGGATCGATCTAAAGTATTTTGGTGTAACTTCAAGCCAAATCATAATTTATTTCAACGGGTTACTCTAATACACTAAACAGAGGAATCAAAACTGAAATCGGAGAACGAGTGGTTCTACTTCTGCGCAAGGGGAAGGAAATATCCACACGGGTCACAAAGCCGGCGAGCCACACAACTTGGTTACTGGAAAGCTACTGGTAAAGAGAGAAGCGTGAAATCGGGGAACCAAATTGTAGGAACCAAGAGAACACTTGTTTTTCACATTGGTCGGGCTCCTCGGGGTGAGCGAACCGAGTGGATTATGCACGAATATTGTATTCATAACGCACCACAGGTCAAGTTTTGATTCGTTTTAATCTTTTGGTTTTGATTGTTATTGAGGGTACCAAAAATGTTGAAATTTGGATTTTCACAGGACGCATTAGTGGTATGCCGATTAAGAAAAAATACCGATTTTCGAGCTTGTTCGAACCAAAGACCAATGGATAATGGTCATGTTCAAACTGATGAGTACGTTGACCAAACTAGTGGTTTGGAGACGGAGGAGAAATCTTTTTCGGTTTATGAACCTGAGCTTCAGATATCAAATGGTGACATTGCAGAATCATCAAATGCTGTTGAGGTCAGCCTTCTATATATGATCTCTCAAACCAATATTCAATATGGTTAAAAATGGATATTATACGAAATAAAATAAAAACGAATAAGAACAACTAACCAATTTAGTGAAAAATTGATTAGTACGTCACCAGTTCATACAAATCAGAGCCGTGCTTGAGCACAGATTAATGAAGCATGTACTTCAGGACCGGAGGAGTTAAATATTTTTTTGAGGCCAATTTTCCAAAGTTTAAGTTAGTTCAGTTGGTTTCTGAATAGGTGAATGCGTGTTATGATTGAGGTTTGCATTAAGAAAAAATTTATTTTAGGGGACCAATTTTTTTCTCTCGCTTGTAATTAGAGAAATCTCAGGCACGGCTCTGCATACAATATTTGGTTTTTATTGTTAGAGTTGAACAACACTAGTTTTCTTTTATTGTTCTTTTTTTTTAAAAAAATTGGTCCATGTAGATTTGCAGTTGCATTAAAAAAAATTTTATTTTAGGGGGCCAATTTTTTTCTCTCACTTGTAATTAGAAAAATCTCAGACACAGCCCTGCATACAATATTTGGTTTTTATTGTTAGAGTTGAACAACACTAGTTTTCTTTTTATTGTAAAGATTAGAGTTTGTAACGAAATAGATCTCTTTCTTTATAGTGCAGGATCGTGCCAACACCGATGATGATTGCTATGCAGAGATTTTGAACGATGATATAATAAAACTTGATGAGGAGGCAGACTGTAGTATAAGGAAAGAATCAAAGCAAACAATGAACTGTAATTACGCTTTGTTCAGGATGAAGAACGTTGCTACGGGAACCGCCTCCACGGACTGGAGAATCCCAAATCCATTCCACATGAAGAAAGATGATAGCCAGAGATTGATAAAGAACATTCTAGCTACTACTGCTTTCTTGACTATCTTAATTTCTGTCTTTTTCACTATGTTAACAACTAGGGACTATAGTTAGTTATGTGTTATGTCTTCTTCTGACTCGCACTTATTTGTACTACAAAACCTTAATACATGGATAGAGTAACTTCACGTGTTTTTAATGTTTTTCTTATTTCTCTATGTTTTTGGGGGACCAAGTAACTAATTTAGTGTTTGTAGATGTTGCGATTATTCCTATGTTTCAATAACTCTTGGTTCTCTTACTCAGCTTGCAATTGAATTGAATCACAAATCGAACCTAACAATCACTTTGTGTTAAGTGAATTGATCGGTTGATTAAACACCATGATAAAGAAAACAGTCAAAGATAGAGGAAGAAGATGACACGGAATTGTTTCCCCAGTTCAGGTCTCGCAAGAGAATCCTACGTCTGGGGCTTGATGGCATAATCAAAGAATCCACTAGAAACTTCAATATACAACGAGATTCACAAGAGAATCGCTCACAAACACCATGAACAACACTCACAGATCATTTCTACACTGGTCTTCTCTAACAATTTTGTTTCCTGCTAATAACGACAAACTTGACTTTCTTCTTCTTATGAATTGAAGAAGCCTGTAATACTTGATCTAAACCAGATCCAAATAACCACCTGTTATTCACCAATTTAACCTTGTACCAGAGCTAAACCCTTCTAGTTTAAAAGCTTCACAACCTGTGTTGAGTGTCACCGATATAACAATCTCCATCTTGACATCAACACACCAAGTTTGTCTTTTGCACCGTCAAGCATAGCCAATTCTCTAGTACCTGGCTACTTTGAGCAGAGCCAAATCCTACTTCAATCTTCTGAACGGAATCACCTTCGTTAACATATCAGCCAGATTCCTTGATGTTGGAATTTTCTGAACTTTCACAAACCCATCTTTGTTCATCAGAAGGCATTGTTTTTGGCAAGAAAAATAGCACTTTGAGAGTCACACTAAACATCAATAGAGTCTTGCTCAAAATCCAGGTCCTCTGCTAAACCTTTCATCCATATTCTTTTTTTGATAGCCTCTTACAAAGCTATGTATTCTGCTTCTGTTGTTGACAAAGCTACCACAGGTTGTAAATCTGATTTCCAACTATCCACGTTTCCACCTGCTGTAAAAACATATCCAGTAAACAATCTCCTGTGATCCAAGTCGGCTGCAAAATCAGAATCTGAAAAACCTTCAACTCTGAAACCTGAGCCTTTAGTGAATACTAGCTTCTTATCCTTTGCTCCCTTTCAATACTTGAGAATCCATTGTACTGCCGTTCAGTGAATTGAACCAGGATTACTCATGAATCTATTGATTAAAACCAACAGCATATGCCACATCTGGTCTTATCCCTATCATACATTATTGATCCAACTGCATTGGTACCTCTCCCGCAGCTTCCTCATTATCCTTGAATTGAAAATGAGCTCCAATGGGTGTAGACACAGCCTTTGCCTCATCCATTCTAAAAACCTAAAGAAATTTCTTGATATAAGCAGATTGAGACAGTGTAAGTACTCCACCTTCACGGTCTCTGTCAATATCCATGCCCAAATTCCTCTTTGCCAGACCCAGATCCTTCATGTCGAACTCACTAGTCAACAAATCCTTAACCTTCCTGATCTCTGTAATACTTTTCGAAGCAAGCAGCATGTCGTTGACATACAAAAATAATTAAACGAATCCATCCTCAAGTTTCATGAAGTAAACACAATGATCATACTCACTTTTCACAAAATCATGCTTAACCATGAACTGATCAAAGCACTTGATCTATTGCCTTGGAGCTTTTTTAGATATAAAAATTTCTTCAGGTGGCAAAAATAGTCTTCTTTTCCCTTCCCCTCAAAATCTTTTGGTTAATCCATGAAGATGTCCTTCTCCAGATTATCACGTAATAAGGCTGTCTTCACCTCAAGTTGTTCCAGTTCCGACATGTCTAACTTCTAGAGAAAAGATTTCTTGAAACTCTATACCATCTCTTTGAGAATACCTTTTTGCCACTAAACTTGCCTTGAACCTTGGCTTTTCAACATCTGGTATACCTGGCTTTCTTTTCAATACCTACCTGAAACCAATTACTTTCTGATTATTTGGTCTTTTAACTAAATCCCAGGTGTGATTCTTTTTGAGTTAACCCATTTCGTCTTCAAATGCTCTTTCCCATTTAACTCAGTTTTATTGTTTAATCCTTCCTGATAGTTTTTAGGCTCTTCTGAGTCTAAATCTTCAGCTACAGACAGAGCAAATGCCAGTACTTAGTATTCATCAATGTATTTTGCTGGTGGTTGAATTGTTCTTCGTGTTCTATCCCAAGCCAGTTGATAGTTTATTAAATCTTCAGACTCATTCTCTGAGCCTTTCACACTCTTTTTATTACCTCACCAGCTCCACCTTCACATCTTGTTTTTCTTACTCAGAACTCCCATCAAACTCCAGAATTATCGTAACAATTCAGATTTTCCTTTTCCTGCAATCTCAATCCGAGACGCCTCTGAATTATTTTCTTGAGACAGATTTTTGTAAAGTTTATCTTCTTTAAAGATTGAATTCCTGCTGATTACACATTTCTTATCATCCAAGAGCCATACTTTGTAACTCCATAAGGGTAGCCGATGAAAATTCCTTTCAGAGCTCTTGGCTTTAGCTTCCCTTGATCTATATGCACATAGACCACAGAACCAAATCTTCTCAAGTGTGCATAACCTGGTTCTTTAATTTCTAAGCCAAACTTGTTCTGATATATTTCCATTAATTGCAGATGATGGAGTTCGGTTAATAAAGTAGACAGATGTTGCTACTGCCCCGCCCAGAATTTTTCTTTGAAGCCTGATTCATTCAAAAGATACCTCACTTTCTCCATGATTGTCATGTTCATACGTTCAGCAATACCGTTCTGTTTTGGTGTGTATGAACAAGTTATATGACTTTCAATACCATCCTTCTTACAGAATCCATTAAATTCAGAATTGCAAAACTCTAAACCATTATCAGTCTGATATACTCATATTTTGTCATGTTTAGGATTGCATTTTTGTCCAAATATTGAGTCTCATGCATACATTTAGGTAGTTTTACATATATTTGTCTTTGCTTTTGTCTTTAGTTAGGAATTGCATTAGGTCCTAGAGAGTTTTGCACTTTTGGAGTGTTTACAAGTCATTTGGGGCTAATTGGGAGCAATTGGGACAAAAGCCATGGAGAGACCATCACCTTATGTGCATCAGACTCGGACAAGTGTTATGGAGCCGACAATCCCTCAACTTTATCACCTGAGAACGAGGACTTGCACCAGGATTCAGCCTCTGTAGTCTTCATACCTAATCAAGAGGGTCGAGTCTAGTTTCCAGAACACTTGATATCTTCCTATTTGGAGTTGTGAGCTGAAAGGTACGGCGATAAGAAGCAGTACATGTCTTGGCGCGGATAAACGACCAAAGCAACGCACATCAAAGAACCGGTGGAACGGAGCCCTTTCCGACGTCATCTGAACCCGAACCCTTCACAAATATTGGAGCTGAAGGAGCCATCTGGCTCATGGAGTTGACCGATCAAGGTTTGGACCACTGAGCAAGGAGTTATGAAGGATTTGGTGCAAGCGGTCTACATTCATATCGAGAAGGAGTACCGACCAAAATCAGATCGGTATTACCTTGGAACCTTGACGATTTTGGCTGGCTTTTGGAAGCCAAAATGCCGAAGAAATATTGACGTCCTGCACCGACTGAATCCTGCTCGGTATTGATCCCCTGAAGCTATCCTTAACGCCGCACCGAGGTGAGTTCAGCCGGTGTAGTGCCTCGGTGTAACCACTCTCAAATTGCCGAAGAAATATCGACCTCCTGCACCGACTGAAATCTGGTCGATACATTATCAAACCAGGACATTTTTATGGGCCTTTTTGGGACCAATACCTAGTTTGTTCTAGGTTGGCCCATCAAAAAACTCTAGCTATATATATGTTTTAGTCATTATCTAGCAGACTAAGCTTTATTCTCTTTTTTTCTTTGCCTCTTTTGTGAAAACCCAGATTTTGTTAAAAGATATCTCAAGGATTTAATCAATCTTAATCTGTTTCTTATCATCTTTTCTTCTTATCTTTGCTTCTAATCATGTTTAACATCACCTCTTGCAAAAGATTAGGTGTGTTAAGCATGATTAGTGAGTAGTCATCTTTTAAGCTTCTAGGTGTGTAGATTAGGGTGCTTAGATGTTTAATTTATGATGTTTAGGTTTTAGATTCTCATTTCCTTTCCTTAGTTAGCTGTCCCTAATGCCTTATTTCCTTGAGAAAGTGAAATCTGGGTTCATAGGCATTTCATGCACCAAAGGTGTTTGATGAAATGCCTGAATGAGCTAACTTAAGGGTTTATGTTTTGAATGCCATGAGAATGTTTGTTTGAAGCATAAATAACATAATAGAACTGTTTATTAATGCATATTGATCATCATTACCACTAATGAGAGTTAGGTTTGAATGCTGATTAATATAGTGGTCATTGTCTTGGAAAAGAAATGATCTTGCTTTGAGTTCTAAGTTGATTGGAATTTGAGATCATGTGATGCTTGCTTTATCTTTCTGTATAAGATTCAGTCTTTCTTAGCTCTTATTTTGATGCACAAAGAGGCTGTCTGGTCATATTAGACTTGGAACCTTATGCTTGTTGATTGCTTATTCACTAATGGGAATTAGTCTTGATTAAGTAATTTGCAAAGGGATTTCTGTCATGGGAATGAATTAATCTATTTTGGAAGTCTAGACTAAAGAATTGCAAGTGTTGTATTGTTTGCTTAGCATCATGAATTAAGTATTGAAAGCACCCTGATCAATGATCACATCTAGAGGTTTAGTTTTATCTTTATTTGAATTTGAGCCTTTGCTTTGTTGTCTTGCTTGTTTAGTTCTTAATTACTGCTTGTTTGTTCTTGCTTGTTTTATTAGATGCTTTTAGATAATCTTGGTTACCAACTCATCTGTTTAGTTAGACTTGGATTAAGAATTGATCCTCATAGTCTTAGTGTCTAGAATCTCTCCATTTGGATTGATACCTCAAGTGCTACAATGACATGAGTAGTTGAGGAATTGATCAAGGATTGAAAAAGTCATGCTATCACAGTCCTAAGATATTTCACCTTCTTATTAACCTGATTCTCCAAAAGTAATTTCAATTCACCAAATTTGCTAAATGCCTCATCTTTAGTGGCTAAGAAATAAACATATACCTTCCGTGAATGATCATTTATGATCGATAGAAAGTATTGCTTCTTATACAGTGCGAGATGAACATTTGGGAAGCCCCACAAATCTGCATGTACATACTTGAGAATTTCCTTTGTATCATGCTTACCAGTACAGAAACTCAGCCTCTTATTCTTCCCTATTATACAGCTCGCACAGAAATCTGGATCACTAATCCTCTTGTTATCAAGAATCCCCTTCTCAACCAGAATTCCGAGATTCTTCATGCTCATATAACCCAGACTACAGTGCCATAATGGAGTATCATTCTTAGACGCTTCAGCATTAGCCTCTGATATTACAGTTTCACCATCAAGCAAGTAGAGACTACCACACAGAGTACCTTGAAGTACTAATGTCCCATTCTTGTAAAATCTGGTTATACCATCTCCACCTTCATGCCTATAGCCCTGCAAATCAAGAGAACTAACAGAGATTAGATTTCTTTTAAGGCTAGGAACCTACCTGACATTGATGAGCTGCTTAATTGTTCCTCCTTTGATGTTGACTCTGATAGAGCCAATCCTTTTTACCATAACACTTCTGTCATCTGCTAAGAGAACCTGTCCTCCAGTAATTTCCTTGAAGTCATCAAACCATTCCCTTCTCGACATCATATGAAACAAGCAGCCATATTCAATCACTCATCTATCCTTAGGGTTATGATCAGAAATAGACAATGCATCTATTTCCTGCAGCTTACCAACCATCACAACAGTCATTCTTTAAATGTCCCTCCTTCTTGCAGTACCACCCCTAGACGAGATCGACAAACACGAAAGAGAACTTCGGAGACTCATACGAAGAACGCTCAAGATGAACGATCCAAACGCCCATCGGGAAAATCCTTTAAACCGTGATCAAGATGGTCACAACGGAGATGATGATGATGATTTCATTCACGAAGATGACCAAGAGGCTGCTCATGAAGCAGAAGGCCAGCCATAACTCGATGGATTGGGAAATCAACTCCCTAGACTTGCTGCTGATAACTAAAGGAGGCAAGACCAGACCGATCCCGAAGAGCAAATGGATGATGAAAACATTGTTCCACCTAATGGAAGAGGCGGAAATTGACCTATACAACTTGTCAATCCTGCGAGAATACAGCCCTGCAATAGACTAAATGCCGATTTTGATGCACTGCACCAACACTTTCAAAATAGATCAGCTATTCAAATACCTGTGCCAGCAAAGGTGATTTCGAGATAAAACCTCAAATTGTCTTCCTGGTGAAGCAAAATCAATTCCATGAAAACTCAACTGAGCATCCTATGGATCACATAGATCTGTTTGAAGAAATATGTGGCATGGTTAGAACCACTCCAGGTTCTACAGATTATATGAAGTGTAAGATTTTTCCTTTCTCTTTAAGTGATAAAGCATTTAGATGGTTGAAGTCTATGCCATCTGGCTCTATTACTTCATGGGAAGAATGCAAGTCAGCTTTCTTGAACCACTTTTACACCAAGTCAAGATCGAACCAGTTGAGAAAAAAGATCTAAAGTTTCCAACAAGGCCCCGTCGAATCATTCTACGAGGCATGGGAGCAATTCAAGGAGTATGAGAGACTGCCCTCATCATGGTTTCACTTCATCAGAAGAATCAACTTTCTCTTGATACTGCCAGCAATGAAGATTTCAGTTCAAATACTGTGACACAAGGGAGAGCACTCATCGGAAATCTATCTGTAGCCAATAGCAACAACAATCCCGAGTATGACAGATCAAAGAAGACTATCATTAGTCATGAGTCAAGAGAGATTTCTGAGCTAAAAAGCATGGTAAGTCAACTTCTTTAATTTCAAAATAAGAATGTACATGCTTGTGACACTGCTGTAGGTAATGAAAAAGATGGAGGATATGAAGATGATGGCATATATTCTCAAGAAGAGGAGGTGAATTTCGTTGGAGTACAAGGGATATATCAGAACCAATTCAATCCAGCTTTCAACCAAAATTTCAGGAATACCAACTTCAACAATCTTTCATACCGAAGTAAGGAGCTGAGAACCCCCAGAACCAACCTTATCTGCAGCAACAGAGGAATTTTCCAAACAAATTCCAAAACGGGAACTATGGAGGAGGAAATTTCCAACAAAGACCACATTTCAATCCTCAACAGGCGCATACCAGCTCATTAGAAGCAACCCTCTCTCAGCTGAGAAATCAAGAGAAATTGCTTGAACAAAACGTGATGCAGACATCTCAGAGCAATGAGAAAAATCGTTTAGAGAAATGGGAGTAAGGATCGATTGTTTGTAAAATGACTTGAATGAGAAGTTTGAATCTCTTGCAATCCATGTCAAGAAGTTGAAACTACAAATAGGTCAGACTGCAGATTCTATGAAAAGGCAGCCAGAAGTTTTGCCAAGAACAGTGCAGGATAATCCAAAGAAGTTCTGCAATGCCATGACAGCAGTCACTGAAAAAGAACCAGGCGCAGACTCTAAGGAGAATTCAAGCCATGAAACCCTCATGAAAGATGCAGAAACCGAGCATGAAGGAGGTCAGAACATCAGCAAGAAGAAGGAAGAAAACCTTGAAGGAATTGCTGAGAGTTAAAAACATGTACTCAAGGATGCAAAAATCTTTGAGAGATAAAAGGAGATTGCGATTCAAGATGAATGAGATCCAAAGTTCAAGCTCAAGAGGACTCCAAGGACTCTTATTTCAAGAGATCCTGTTTCTTCTTCTCAATCCTGATCCCACCAAGAGTCTAGCTAAAAGATTTTAAACAAAAGCGCTTGATGGGAGGGTATGTTTTTCTTTTCTTTTATTTCTTTTATATTTAATTTTTTTCTTTTTATGCATTTCAGGCTTTCATAAAACCCAAAAAAAACAAAAAAATTAAAAAAAACTAGAAAAATGCAAAAATATAGGAGGAAGAAACCGGAAACCGGAAACCGGAAACCGGAAACCGGAAAGAAGCAGGACTGAGCCGAAGCCATTTGTCGCGGCCGCAATCACCTCAACCGCGGCCAGGCCATGTTTTACCGCGGTACACGTCTCCAACCCGTGGCAAATTCATTTTTTCCGTGGCCGCGCACACTTGACCCGCGACTGAGCTCGTTTTTGCTTCCCGACTTGTTTTTCCTGATTTCCTGTAAAACGGAGCTTAAAAATCCGGATTCATCCCGAGATTAAACCGGAAATTCCCAGAATAACTTTTCCGTGCCCAACACGCCAAGGTAAGTCCTTAAAACCTTTTAAACTAATTTTTTCTTAGGAAAAACACTTTTTAAAAAGAAAAAAAAAAGAATTTCAGAGATCAAAAGGCACATTTTCATAATCTTCTCCAACAAACTTAGAAATTTTGAGAAAGTACAAGATTTCAAACTTTACAAATACCTTTCAAATTTTTGATTCTGTCTCACTTTTTTTTAAAGGAGATTCCAAATCTATCATCACATCACACTCTCATCAAGGTATAGATCCAAATTCTTCACTTTTTCAAATGAACTCAAAATTTAGGGTGTCTTAGAATCAGTGGGAATTCACCTAGAGATGATAGGCGATTGTCTTTGAGCTCAAGACTAGACTTCTCGGTAGTTTAATTACATGATTTAACACCTAGACTCTATAGATTTTTAATTTTTGAAATCTGAGATTTAAACACTTGAGAAAATCGAATTTGAAGAACTGTTTGGTTTAGCATTAGCAAATCTACATTAGTGGATTACTGTTGATAGATAATATGATTAGATTACATATGAATGAGCATTTGCATCATCTTATTTTGGAAATCATATGTAGAACATCATTATCCCGAAATCGATCAGGAACTCCCAAATTTTTCCATGTTCAATGCAATTATAGTTTGTTTGTAGTTTGAATGTGTTTGTGATAGCTGTATGAACATCTTAGCTCATAAAAATCGATTCAACATGCAGCTTCATTCATTCTTTGTCTCGAGAATTCTATTTTGCAGGTCATGGAATTTTGCCGAGCATGTCTCATTCGCACGAAGCATAGCCCGCATGCGAAGAATCCTCATTCCAAAGAGATATATGATACCTTGAACAAGACACAGCTGAGCGATAATGAGACCTTTTCCGCTTTCATATCTACGCAGAGGAGAATCTTTTCAGGACAGATCGATAGAGCCCTCACTCGAAAATCAGTACCTCGGAGAGCCAAGTCTTCATCTAGACCGAAAGTGAAGTTTATTGGTCAGGCCATTGATCCAGACATCAACTACTTGGAGAACTTTAAGAATCTGAAGATCAAACCAACTCCAGCAATCGATTACTCTACTCTCGAGATGCTTGGAATCAGAGAGGATGTGATATGGTACCTTGATAAGCTTAGGATCTGATCATTCATGGGGCAGAGTTTCCCAACTTATGAGAGTCACTCCAGAGAGTTCCTAGCATCAATGAAATTGTGCTACAAGAAGAGAACTACTCCTAGAGCTCTAGATTACACACTTTCTTTCTCTATTGGAGGACATCTCTATTCTCTCACCATTTTAGAGATGTGTGAAGCCTTGAAGCTGCCATACTATGATGAGATCGCTTTGGAGAAAGATCCAGATGAGGATTTATGGAGATTGATGGATCATGGAGTATATGACAAAGGAAGATCCAAAGCCTCACTTCTCTCTCACCCTACAGTTTGATATGTGCATAAGTTGTTGGCACACACTATGTTTTCCAGAGCCAACCAGGAAAATGTGCTCAAACCCGAGCTGGTGACACTTCAACTACCTTTCACAGATCATCCAGAGTTTCCTTGCTTTGCATGCATCATTAGCAAGAACCTAGTGAAGGTTAACCTAGAGATGATTACTTCAGAGTGCCAAGACTTCTCACCAGCCTTTGGGAGCATCATTACATTGCTTATGATTGCAGCAGGAGTGGACTTTTCAGCTGAGACCCCTTTTAAGAAAGATTGGTTTGATCTATCCCAGTTTTCTAGAGTCAAGACTATTTCTATAGCCAAGATGGATCCCATCGGAATTGCTTACAAGTTTTGTACAAGTACATTTGCGTACAAAGTTTTCTTACCATCAGATTCAGTGCCTCAAATCCGAGACAGAGCAGACCCAGGATAGAGATCAGAGACTCACGACTTCTTGCCATCTGTTCCACTCCTCCCTTTGACTATGAAGCAATTTCTGGCTACAAAAGCTAAGAGAGAGGCAGCTGCAACCAGCAGGAGACTTCAGCCTGCACCATCATCATCCCGAGCCAGCTCCTCTCAAACCAGAGCATCTACTAGGAGTGATCCAGACTTTTCAGCCTTGAAGAAGAAGCTCGACCAGCAGGAGAAGATTAACAGGCGCATGAAGAAGTTCCTGAAGAAGAACCACATGTTTGATGATGATTTCTCTGCTACAGAGCCAGACAGCAGCCACGAGGCATAGGCTCTTATCCATCACCTCGCCATACCCACGGTTCTAGCATCATTTTCTTTTCTTTTATTTTAGACTCTTATGCTTTTATTTACCATCTTCTCACAAACTTTTACACACTGGGGACAGTGTGATTTAAGTCTGGGGGAGAATGTCTATCTTTCTGATTTATTTTCTTTGTTTCTTATCTTTTTCTTGCAATTTTTAAAATTTTTGATGCTTATTAAAACATCTTTAGTGTTTTTCATGAATGTTTGACACAAAACTATGATGAGTAAGACCCATGTGCTTCTAGACTCTACATGCTAGTTTCTTTTTGTGATTTACTAGACTAGGCGGTAGTTAGAGTACTTGCACTACGAACTCCCACCAGAGGACTTCTATTTATGGAGATTGTTTCTGACATGATATACTAGCTCATTTTACTTAGACTTAATCTTGACATTTAATTTTCTCATCATTGGTTTTAGGAAGGCATCATGATATACATCTAGGACATTTTTATCCTATTTCACCACTCTTTGTGTCCTAGATTGCCAGTTCATCTTTAGCTGGTACCACACCTTTTACCCAGACCTTTATGTTTGAGCCTCATGCATTCTTTTTTAAGTTTTTATCGGCAGATATGTGCAAAAATGTCGGAGAGGGGGGATCAACATAGTTTTCAATCACTCAAGAGAAAGACTGGAAGAAATTGGGAAAGGGGAGTAACAGGAATCCTATCAAGCTTAATGGTGCTTCAAAGATCTCATTCTTAATGGTAAATTTTGTGCTCCCTAAGACTCTATGTCAAAAGGTGGTTTCTCTTTTCAAAAAAAAAAATGAAAGGAAAGGAAACCAAAAGAGTATTAGAAGCCAAAATTATTTGAGCCAAGGCTACAAGTATTCATCTATGGAGTTATGGCTTACAAACCTAGACAAAAATCTAAATCTGGGGGAGTCATGAGGAGAACCTGAATAAAGGAGATAAAAAATCTTAAGGCAAGAAGAATGTGACTGGAAACTGTGGACATCAACTGCTCCATCCTTTCTTGCTGTTTTGCATAATATCTTGTCTCTCCAGAAAAAAGTAACCCTAAACCACCCCTAAAAAGCTATTTTGAATACCTAGCTTGATTGCTTTGCTAAATTCCTTTTGATGAGAACCAATGCAACTTTTAAATGAATGTAAAGAGCTAGTTGACTGTAAGATAGGTCTAAGTGTGTAAATTTTTGCATGACGATTCAATGACTAGTTATTCTTGTATTTCGGTGATAATTTTCTAGACTATTCCCGATTTGAGCATAATGATTGAATTTAGTTTAGAAGCATGGTCTCTGAGATTTTGTTAGTTCATACGATTTTCAAACCTCTTTTCTGGAATTAGATCTATTGTTTTGTTTGAGGACAAAAAAGGTTGAAGTCTGGGGAGTTGATAACACCTAGTTTTGACTATTTTTATGGATCACTTTCAATATATTATGCAGGTGTTTTCACTCAGTTTTATAAGCGTTTTCCATATTTTTGAGTTTTAAAATATTTTTCAGGAAACTTGGATTATTGTATTACATTTTAGAGCAAAAGTACATTTTTGGATAAATTCAGGCCGTCAGAAGTTTGACAACCAAAGAAGACTTTCTCACTGTCTGATTATCCCAAAATTTGGAGGCATTATAGAGGAGACAACCAGATTTCCAACACACTTGGAATCAATGAAATTAAATGGTTAGATCTCCAGATATCATCAATGCACTAAAGGCTTATCAACTCAGTCCAGGAAGGGACATGAGTTTTCATCCGCGACAAAACACCTCCCCACCGCAGCTCAGGAGTTCTCACCCGCGGTGGAACTCTATCCGAGCCTCAGAAGCCCAACTAAGGCCCTATACACTTTCTGCACTCATTTTACAAGTTCTAGATGCCCAGAAGGAAAGAAACACTATAAATACTCATTTTTAGGTCTTTTGTAACGAAGCCTATTTTATCTCTTTGAGAGAGAACTTCATCTTAGCTTTAGGTTTTATTTTTTATCTTGTAGAGGCTTTTTCATCGCCAAATATTGTCTTCAATCAGAGAAGTTTTATATGTACTACTACGATTTAAGAGAAAAATCTTACTTTGCTGGTGTAGTGGTTTTTGAAAAACGGTTGACCATAAATCAATATTGAGCCAATGAACATTGATTTACGGGTGAAAATAGATTGAGAGAAGTGGCCGGACTAAGCTGTCTTGTGGCCCATGAAAAGTCCACATGAAGTTGTCTTTTGGATTTATTTTTTTTATATATAAAAATAGTTGCACATGTAGAACCAAAAGAGAAAAAAGTTAATATATATAAATTTTATGACGCCTGACCAAGAATAAGTATTAAATGCTTTCAGAACCTATTTCTTTCAGGTGTAGTGGCACTTTTGTCCTTAATTAATAATTCGTTCATAGTATATATCTAAGATGTCAGACGGATCTGTCCGGATCCAATAAGCTCAGCCGCGATAATTTTTTTTCTGAGACTGTATGGGCCGGTCTGCTATGACCGCAATAAAAATATCTATATCCAGACCCATTTCACTAAATAAAAATAACATATCTTAAATTTTTAAATATATTTATCTATTATTAAATTTTTTTGATCCTTTTTAAATATATTATTTTTATATTTTATTCAGTTTGAACTTTATTATTATATAAATAAAACTAAATCAATCAACAAATACCATCATAACTTCTTTTCCAAATCTGGTTTAAATGGTATTGACAAGCTAATGACTAGCTAACATATACCAATATTAATTATATTTTACTCAACTTATAAATACTTCCAACCCAAAATATTATCATTAACAGATAATAAAAATTAAAAAAAATATAAAAATAAATAATAATAAAAATAAAAGACTGTTTATCTCAATCTAATTAGTTAATGTGATTTGAAACGCACATATAGATATATAATAAATATAATAGTTTTATATTTATTGTTGAATTAAATGGTATATTCAAATTATTTTTTATATATCATTTTTATATTACTTTTAAATCCAATATATTGTTAGGCATTATAGTTAATCATTTGTTTAGTATATATTTATATATACATAAAACCATGTCAATACATACATAAAATATATATTTGTTTATAAAAATGTATTAAATAATGTAAGTTAATGTAAAACAAATAGTATTAAATCATATATTTATAGGTATATTTTTTAAAAAAACTAAAAATAATAAAAGTAGGTGTGTATTTTTTTTTAAAAAAGCAGGCTGATCCTCAAGTCCGCAAAAATGTAACGGTTCAGCCCATTTAACCTGCGAATTGCAGCGAGCCAATCCGCAAAAGTCACTTTTTGATGGACAAAAATTATGATGTTTTGATATGCGTTTATTAGGGCCTTAATGGGTTTGGTCCACGGGATAGAAGCCTGTTTGACATCTGTTGTAGGTGGGCTGAGCACAGCCCCCTTTTTGTAATTTCGTTCAGGCCCATTAACGAAGTGAAAGCCCAATAAGATCAACAAGCCCGTGCGCGAAGAGTAAAACGAGGTCGTTCAAATAGGTAACCTTTTTGTATCTAAGGAGCAGCTCGCCACCTCCTCATGGATGGGACAGCTCGCCACGTCGACATGGATGAAGCAGTTCGCCACCTCGATACGGATGGGACAGCTCGCCACGTCGACATAGATGAAACAGCTCGCCAGCACAACGCTCCGATAGACGGTCGGTCAGGTCTATCTGCCCGGCCGCCCAAGCTACTCTGACCGAGATGTAACTTAATTTAAGCACTATAAATAGCCCTGTAACTTCATTTATTACGCGATCCGTAATCTGAAACAAAGATAAGAATACTGTAGACTTATAATCAAACTCTTACCTCGCAAGCTAACATCACTTAATTTACCTCGTCCAAACAACCTCGAAACATTCACCTCGAGATCACCTCTATTTAATCAAGAATCTCCGAGCTCCACTTAGACAAATTTACTGAAGTAACCTCGTGTGCGGATACAATACAACAATTGGCGCCCACCGTGGGGCCAAGAGATTTCTTTCTACGCAAAGAGGGGCTCGATAATGTCAGGAGTTCAAATCAATGAGACGACTAGTCTACCCATCTCAACTACAGCCGAGGAGGGACTTCACACGTCACCGGTTAACAATCCAGAGACCTCGAATAGGCAGTCACCAACGATAAATCCCGTGGAAATCGCAACTTCGCTCCCAGAAGCGCAAGCTGCAAATCAAAGCACGCCAGCTCCTACCGACGTCGCAACGTTATTCGCAACAATGATGGCACGAATGGAAGAGCTGAATCATTAGACAAGCGCTCGCCTGAACGAGCTCGCCGTGGCACAACTTTCTTGTCAAGATCAAGTCAACACATTACACTCGTCAGAGACCCAAGCTCCAGAAAGACGTGCCCAAGAAATTCAACGAGTACAGCGCGCCTTATTCGGAGATTCGCCCGCACCACCAACGACAGAAAATCACCCGGCCTCGAACTACGATGAGGTGAACATCGGAGCTCCCGAACACGAAACGCGTCGACCTCAGATAAGAAACTCACAGCAAGACGAAGAAATGCTCGAGATGAGGGCCAAATTGCGAGCCATGACTTTGCTTGTACATCAAGCCACTAGCTCGGCACCCGAGATCGACCGTGTGTTGAAAGAAAGCCAAAGCACGCCGTTCACGACCCGAATCACCGACTTCCCGATTAGAACTCAAGTGAAGTTCAATCTCCCGACGTATACAGGCAACTCGGACCCAAGCCAATTCATGACCGCGTTAAGCATTCAAATGGGCCGAGCACGATTCACCCCCGAGGAAAAAGATGCAGGCTTCTGCCAACTGTTCGTTGAAAACCTCGGCGGTGCGGCCCTCGTTTGGTTCTCCAAGTTAAAAGTAAACTCGATTGACAGCTACCAAGCGTTGTCGACCGCATTCCTCAAGAGGTACATGATGTATATCCAAGGCGCAGTTTCCAGCGCTGACCTCTACCAGATCAAACAAGGCGAAAAAGAATCCCTTCGGTCTTTTATCAGCAGGTTCAATGCGATGGTTTCTCGGATCACCGTGACTGACGAAGCATCGCTGCCAGCTCTTCGGAATGCCCTGCGAATCGATTCGAAGTTTCGGGACAGCCTCAAGTTCAGCAAACCCCGAACTCTCGAAGACGCGCTTCACCGTGCCACTTTATACATCGAAGACGAAGAAGAAAAAGAGACCGCGTCGCCAGCAAAAGCGACACCGAAGCAGCAACCTCACAAAGATACCCCCAAACAAGATTATCAGGAACCTCGACAACACCTCGACAATAACTATCGAGGTGACAATCGCCGAGGAGCGACGTACAACATTAGCACTCAACAGCAGCAAAATCGCCCGTACCAAAACCAATCAAACACCTGGCAGCGAGGAGATCGTGGAGAGACACGACCCTTCTGCGATTATCACAACAAGTATGGTCACCCGACTGCGATGTGTCGTGAACTACAGGCCTATTTGCTCGCCAAATATCGCAAGGGGGAGATCGCATTAGCAAACCAGCCCCAACACACCACGCCGCAAAACAGCGGGGCTCGACCAACGGATTCCGCCGAACAGCTTCCACCTCCTCCTCCAACGAACGATCAATCTAACGACGACGTCGCGAAGAGAGACCGTGGAAACCAACCTCGATGTGACACTCCTCCGGCATCTCGAAAGAAGGTGTTCTTTATCATGGGAGGCCTATCGACGTGCAACGATTCCGTCAGGTCGATAAAAAGTACGGCCGCCAGGTCATGCTCGCACAAAAATGGCAAGTTAAAAGATGCGATCACTTTCACCGAGGCCGACACGGAAAGGGTCGACATGCCACATAACGATCCGCTTGTGGTCGAGCTGCGGATCGCAGATTGTGAAGTATCTCGAATACTGGTCGATACAGGAAGCTCGGTCGACCTGATCTTCAAAGAAACGCTAGACAAAATGGAACTGACTAACCATTACCTCAAGTCATCGGTTAAGCCACTCACGGGATTCGATGGAGACACAGTCTACTCGATCGGAAACGATCAGGCTTCCAGTCTACGCGGCAAAGACGACTCGCCTCGTCAAATTCGTCGTCGTCGACAAACCCGCCATCTATAACGTAATTTTGGGAACGCCCTGGCTGCAATCCATGAAAGCGGTACCATCGACCTATCATCAATGCCTCAAATTCCCTACCACCTTCGGGGTAAAAACCATCCGAGGTTCTCAGGAGATATCCAGACTCTGCTTCGCCGCAGAGCACAAGCTCCGATCCAAATCCGCGATTCCAGCCAAGGCGTGTCTTACGATTCTACCCGTAACTCAAGTCGATTTGCCAACTCAAGAAAGACCGAAGCAGGAGCTCGTCGTCCAAGTCAACATCGACGAAAGCGACTCCGAACGATGCGTAGGGATCGGAGCCGATATAAAGGAGGAGATCAAGGTTGAGCTCGTACGACTTCTTCGCCGAAATGCAACGACATTCGCCTGGTCAGTAAGCGATATGCCCGGGATCGATCCCTCAATCACAAGTCATGAGCTTAACATCGATCCTACGTTTAAACCGATCAAGCAGAAGCGGAGGAAGTTAGGTCCAGAAAAGGCACAAGCCGTCAATGATGAGGTCGAACGTTTGTCAAAGGCTGGATCGATCATCGAGGTCAAATATCCAGAATGGCTGGCAAACCCCGTTGTCGTCAAAAAGAAGAACGGCAAATGGCGAATCTGCGTAGACTTCACCAACCTCAATAAAGCATGCCCCAAGGATAGTTTCCCCTTGCCGCACATCGATAGAATCGTCGAGGCGACTGCAGGCAATGAGCTCTTATCATTCATGGACGCCTTCTCCGGGTACAATCAGATCACGATGCATCCCGAGGATCGTGAGAAGACATCCTTCATCACCGATCGAGGAACCTATTGCTATAAGGTAATGCCGTTCGGCTTAAAGAACGCGGGCCCAACATACCAACGACTAGTCAACCAATTGGGACGAACGATGGAGGTTTACATCGACGATATGCTAGTAAAGTCGCTCACCGCCGGCGATCACATTGGCCATCTGCAAGCTTGCTTCACCGTTCTAAATCAATACCAGATGAAGCTCAATCCAACTAAGTGTACCTTCGGGGTAACTTCCGGAGAATTCCTAGGCTACATCGTCACAAAACGAGGAATCGAGGCAAATCCGAAGCAGATTGATGCCCTAATCAATCTCCCATCACCTCGCAACACTCGCGAAGTCCAACGTCTTACCGGCCGAATTGCAGCGCTCAACCGATTCATCTCGCGATCCACAGATAAGTGTCTTCCGTTCTATCAACTTCTCCGAGGCAGCAAACGTTTCGAGTGGGACGGTAAATGTGAGGAAGCCTTCCAACAGCTCAAGAGATACCTCGCCAGCCCTCCAATTTTAGCCAAACCTGAAACAGGCGAAACCCTCTACCTCTATATCGCTGTATCGAGCTCGGCAGTAAGCGGCGTTTTAGTCAAAGAAGATCGAGTCGAGCAGAAACCGATTTTCTACGTTAGTAAAACTCTGGACGACGCAGAAAAGCGGTATCCGACTTTGGAGAAACTCGCACTCGCGGTCATCATGTCTGCCAGAAAGCTACGACCCTACTTTCAATCCCATTCGATCATCGTCTTGACCAATCAACCACTTCGAACCATACTGCACAGCCCGAGCCAGTCAGGTCGCATGGCAAAGTGGGCTGTCGAGCTGACAGAATATGATATTGAATATCGCAATAAGACAAGTGCCAAATCGCAAGTCCTCGCAGATTTTCTGGTAGAGCTTCCGCCAGAGCTAATTCAGACCGACCTACCTGACGAGAAGTGGTCCTTGTACGTCCTCCTCATCCCGAGGCGCAGGTATCGGCATCCGCCTAGAATCTCCGACGAAAGAGATATTGGAGCAATCGTTCCGGCTCGAATTTCCAGCCTCCAATAATGAAGCGGAGTACGAGGCTTTACTCGCAGGACTACGTCTAGCGCAAGGAATCGGGGTCAAAAAAATCGAAGCTTTCTGCGACTCCCAGCTCGTTGCTAGTAGCGGCGATTACGACACCAGAAACGACCGGATGGATTTGTATCTTAAAGCCGTCAAAAACCTCGTTGATCGCTTTGAACTTTTCTCACTCACCAGAATTCCGAGGAGTCACAACACCTCAGCAGATGCACTAGCCGCCCTCGCATCGACGTCTGAACCACATCAAAGGCGCGTAATCCCGGTTGAAAGCATCGATTCCCCCAGCATTGTCTTACCTCGAGGAGTATGCGCGGTTCGAGAACTCGAAGCGAACAGATTGGACGCCATCGAGTTACCTCCCCCCGAGGTCATCGATGAACCTGACGAACAAGAGCCAGCAACCGAACATTGGAGGATCGAAATCTTGCTCTACATTACAGACGGCCAAGTTCCACCCGATCGATGGGCAGCGAGGCTCTTAAAAAATCGAAGCGCTAAATACATTCAGTCACACGGCAACCTCTATCGTTGGAGCTCGACGGGCGCCCTGCTCAATCGTCTTCACGGCGAAGAGACACTCGATGTCATGCGGGAAACACATGAAGAGGCGTGTGGAAATCACTCCAACGGTCGAGCTCTCGCTCTAAAAATCAAGAACCACGGTCATTTTTGGCCAACAATGCTTACCGATTGCGATCGATTCGTAGCTCGCGGCGAGCAATGCCAACGACATGCGCCAATGATCCACGCACCAGCCGAGCTTCTGGCTGCTTCCTCGCCACCTTATCCCTTCATGCGATGGGCGATGGACATCGTCGGTCCACTTCCTCGATCCCGACAAAAATGATTCATGCTTATCATCACCGATTACTTTACGAAATGGGTCGAGGCCGAGTCCTACACCAAAATCAAAGCAACCGAGGTTGAAGAACTTCGTCTGGAAAAATATCATATGCCGTCACGGATTGCCCTACGAGATCGTCACCGATAATGGTTCCCAGTTCGTCTCCGATGTATTCGAGGACTTCTGTGCCAAATGGAAAATACGACTTAGCAAGTCAACACCACGATACCCACAGGGAAACGGACAGGCCGAGGCAACCAACAAAACCATCCTCGACGGCATCAAAAAAAGACTCGAAGATAAGAAAGACTTATGGGCGGACGAGCTGGACGGAGTCCTATGGTCACATTGAACTACACCGCGCAGATCGACGAATAAAACCCCTTTCTCGTTGTCTCACGGCATGGAAGCCTTAGCCCCCACCGAGGTCGGTCTACCAACCATACGTAGAACGATGTTGACACAAGACGGTAAAAAGAACGGAAGAATGATGAAGGATAGCCTCGACATGCTCGAGGAGGAGCGAGACCACGCCCTGTTACGTATGCAAAATTATCAGCAGCAAATCTCACGATACTACAACAAACGCGTGAAAGGAAGGCACTTCGAAGCCGGCGACCTCGTCCTTCGAAAGGTGTTCGAGAATACCGAAGAATACCGCGCCGGAAAACTAGATGCAAAGTGGGAAGGCCCCTACCAAATCACTAACGTTGTTAAACCTGGTGGTTACGAGCTGATGACGATGGACGGCGAGATGATACCTCGATCTTGGAACTCGATGAACATCAAGCAGTACTACTACTAAAAAAAAAAAAAAAAAAAAAAAAAAAACTTTCACTTCGACATCTTTCACTTCGACATCTTTCACTCGGTCGAGCTATATCTCAAATGTGAACTACAATCGGCTTGATCCCAGTTTGTTGGGTACGTAGGCAACCTCTCACGAGGTACAGCTATTAATAAAATTTTATTTATACAAACTTTCACTTCGACATCTTTCACTTCGACATCTTTCACATCGACATCCTAGCTAGATGTTCGATCCCCTAATACGCATTTTCCTACAATGCAAACTCTTAATCAATCCTAAGGAACAAAAACCTTACGATTGTGAGAGAATAAGCCGGGACCAGTCCCGCATCCTTTCTTAAATCAGCCGAATAACTACGTCAAGATCATTCTCACTATTCGGACACGATTAATGAAATAAAACAGGGTAAGCCGAGTCATACCTCGCGCCTATTGTCCCCTTAAGTCGAGTTTCACCTCGCACCTATTTTTCCCTCAAGCCGAGTTTTATCTCGCACCTATTATTTCACTCATACCTGTTATTTTACTAAGTTTTATCTCGCATCTCGTACCTCGCATCCATTATTTTCGTAGGTCAAGTCTCGCGCCTATCGTTCGAGAGTGTTGTTCCAATAAGTAAGTTCTCACTTCGTTCCAATCTTTTTTAACCAATTTTCACATCGTATCAAGCATTTCATCTCGAATCTATTGTCATCTTAATTACGAGCTAAAACTAAGAATACCCCCGTTTATCGCTTTGCTTTGCTTAAATATACCTTGTATTTATTATCTTCTTACAATTCAAGACGCGAGCCGATACTTGTATTAAAAAAAAAGCATTCATTGATGAAATTGAGTCGAGTCATTAAAATCGAGGCAACATAACAAAATAATATTAAGTAAAAAGAAAAAAGGTGATAGCATATAAGGGAAAGACAGGTGAGATCTACTCGTCAGGCTGATTGCCACCCTCGTGGTCCTCTTCATCCTCGCGATGCTCCTGATCTTCAGCCTCGTCATGATTTGAACCACCGTCCCGAGTCTCGGGATATTGCGGGGGCATGTCGCCTTCCTGAAGATCAGATAGCCGAAGTCTCTCGAGTTTCAGCTCGCAGTCGCGCATGGTCGCCTCGAGATCAGCCCGCAACTCGACCTCGGTCATCTCTTTGTCCTTCAAGAGATCGAGGCATTCGAGAGTACCTCGAGCCTGAACAAGTTCTAGCTTCACCTTCACGATGGCCTCCTGTTCAGCGATAAAGGTCCTCAATCGATCTATGCGACCCGAGAACTTGTTCTCCGCATCTACCCAAATCCGAGTAGTCTCGGATTCTATCTTCTCCTCGGCATGACGTTTGACGCGAGCCACTTCGGACGCGACCACTTTCTCAGCCTGGAGCTTCGCTTCATTGACCGTTTGCAGGTTGCTGATCAGATCCTGATTTTCCGCTTTCAGTTCTTCGATCTTGTCAGTCAGCGTCTTCATGCTTCTTCCAATTGCTTGGAGCGTCTTTTTTCGACCTGCCACTTCTCCTCAGCTGACTTTCGCCGAGCAATCGCAGCGTCCCGCTCTTCCATGGCTCTCTGCCCAACGGACTGAGTATTACTAAGCTTCGTAGCAGCAGCTCGCGATAAACTGATAAAACTTAAGTCAGATTGAGATCGAAGCAGAGGTAAAACTTAAGCCATAAATATGAAACAAAGATCACAACATACCTTGAAGGCGTAGCCCGCCATGTCTTTGAAGACCGCGTCATCAGCAGCGGGAACCTCGGAGGTAGATCCCTTTATCAATCCGAAGAGCTCTGCGCATTTGTCAGCATTGTTGACAAGGGGCACCCCGGACTCGGGGTAATCAAACTTGAAGCTCCAATCGATTTCCGGAGCCCTACCGTCGCCAGTGGGATCAACCTACGACCTCTTTCCCGGCTCCTCGCGATCACCACCTGCAACCACCTCGCCGGAGGTTCTCTTCCTTGATCCCTCCTTCGCTGCCGACTCATCAACCTCGGGTTGGTTCGCCCCCTCGGTAAGCTGGGTGGTCTCGACCTCATCCTTGTCCTTTTTCTTCTTCTCTTTTCTTTTTAGCTTCTTCGCCTCCTTCCTAGATCGCCTCGCAGTTTCATCAGGCCCCTCGGCAACTGCCTGACCTTCCTCTTGAGCCCCCGCCTCAGGCTCAACCGTTTGGGCGCGATCCTCAACGAGATCACTGTCTTGACGAGCTTCGACCTCGTTGACAATTTGAGGTGCCGTCGCTTGGGTCGAACGATCTGACTGAGCGAGAGATTCCCGACTTTTATTCCCCCCACTACTGCGATTGGCCCTGAGCCTCGCAGCAAGACTAGGCGCGTTCACTTGAATCGGAGACATCGCGATCGCTCTCTCCCTTAATTGGTTTTCTCTCCTCCAGCTAGCTGTAACAAACCAATATGTTAAACGACGTAAATCAAAAAATTCTGAAGACATCGAACTTACCGTTCGTAATACGGGTAATGGCAGCCTCGACTCTTCGGCGATGGATGTCAGGCCAGTGTTGAATCCCGACTGCTCTGATCTTCTGGATGTTCTCGTGGAAGTTCTCCGGGAAAGCTCCGAGCTGAACGTTGCGATCTGCAAAAGACGAAAACACATTAATAAGAGATAAGGAAAGACTCGAGACACGACCAGACTAGCGATCTACCGATGCTGTCGCTCCACTCGTTCCTAAAATTCCTGGAGGTGTCGACAACCAGCGTCTCATCCACCTTCGCAAAAAAAAGGACGCCTCCCAGCTCGGCGTCCTGTTAACAGGGTAGACTAAAGAGCAGTCCTTCCTCGCTTTTATTGTGTATGTCCCCGGGATCGAATTGTTCTTTTGGACGTTGGTCATCTCCTCGAAGAAACGCCAATCGACATTGACCCCAGCCTCGCTCCCAAATAGCAGAGCCGCGACCATAAATCGAATTCCCGCAGGGAGAATTTGCGAGAACGCAATGCCTCGACGATCTACATAATCCGCAGCAGCCTCGGAAGAGGCACCCAGAGGTGGCAAAGGCCGAACCACGCCTCGTAGAGCGTGATCCAACCTTCTGGAGCATACCACGGACGATCTTCAGGCCCCGGCGCCATCAGCTCGCCTCGAAAGCTGTATCGAAGCTGAAATTCCTCGAGGCGTTGAGCCGTCATCTGAGACGGAATGTCAACTAGTCGATTTTTGATAGCTCCCTTGCGTTTGGAGCCCTTCCGTCGATGTCCGACTTCCTCACCTTGTTCTTCCCCCTCTCCCTGTTCATTTTCTTCCTCCCCCCCTTCGTCGACCTCGTCCTCGACATGCTCTGAAGCCTCCCCATCATATCGATCCTCCTCGAAGGGAACTATCCGAAGGTCCGTTTCACCTCGCGGAGACGCCCCTTCAGAGCGGACTCGATCCACTAATTCAGCAGATGGAGACTGTTCTCGATCCGACTGAGTATCAGACCTCGAAGATATTTCAGGAGAAGAGCTCGCACTCTCGGAAGACTCCCTATCAGATCTAGAGCCAGATTCTAAGCTCGACTCGATACGCTGACCCCCCGAAGTCATCACTCAACGACGAATAACAATAAAAAGTTCACGATAAACGGAAAAGCCACGCCGAAAGAGAACAAATCCAAGAGAGAAAAATTCTAGAGAGAAGAGAGAGCAAGATTACCTTTTGTAAGCGGAGAAGAAAATGAGAAGAAGAGGAGGAGAGCAGAATATATAAGTGAGAAAAGTGGCGGTTACCGAGAAAAGTAATGATGATCAGGACGCTTCCCAATATCTTATTTGGATACGGATTCCACGCGCTTCCACTCGCGACTCCTCATTACCTAAGTCGACCGTTGCTTTTTGCGACTCATCGCTTCCCAAGAATCACGCGTCCATTCGCGACTCTTAATTACCTAAGACAGCCGTTGGCCATTTGCAACTCCTCATTCCCCAAAGTATCACCTCGACCCCGAAGACTTCGCATCAATGTCGAAACCCAAGGAAACGAAATTTCTCCACCTCGACGCGTTGAATATCGAAGTAACATCTCCATCAACGGACTGGGGGGACAATTGTTGTAGGTGGGCTGAGCACAGCCCCCTTTTTGTAATTTTGTTCAGGCCCATTAACGAAGTGAAAGCCCAATAAGATCAATAAGCCTGTGCGCGAAGAGTAAAACGAGGTCGTTCAAATAGGTAACCTTTTTGTATCTAAGGAGCAGCTCGCCACCTCCTCATGGATGGGACAGCTCGCCACGTCGACATGGATGAAGCAGTTCGCCACCTCGATACAGATGGGACAGCTCGCCACATCGACATAGATGAAACAACTCGCCAGCACGACGCTCCGATAGACGGTCGGTCAGGTCTATCTGCCCGGCCGCCCAAGCTACTCTGACCGAGATGTAACTTAATTTAAGCACTATAAATAGCCCTGTAACTTCATTTATTACGGGATCCGTAATCTGAAACAAAGATAAGAATACTGTAGACTTATAATCAAACTCTTACCTCGCAAGCTAACATCGCTTAATTTACCTCGTTCAAACAACCTCGAAACATTCACCTCGAGATCATCTCTATTTAATCAAGAATCTCCGAGCTCCACTTAGACAAATTTACTGAAATAACCTCGTGTACGGATACAATACAACAACATTTCTATTAAAGATCTGACTAGTTTAACCAATCAACACCTAATAAGTATCTTGTTTTTGAGGAGAAAATATAGAACCTCAAATCTTAGAAGAAGGTGTTCCGTCCAATAATATACCCGCTTAACTCTATCCAATAATATAATCTTCAAGTCCGGGTTTAGTTTCTATATATATCCAATAAGGCAATAAATATCTAACTTCAACGCTGGGTTTATTCGTCCTTTCCACTAGAATCTGCCACGTCAGTCTTTTGTCTTTTTTTTTTTTTTTTGTCGTCAGTCTTTTGTCTTTTAAAGCTGCATAATATCAAATTCATCCAATAAATATCTAACTTCAACGCTGGGTTTATTCGTCCTTTCCGCATAGAATCTGCCATGTCATTCTTTTTGCCTTTTAAAGCTGCTTAATATCATCAAATTTAAAACCTTTACCCGAGGGAACGTCGCTGCTCTTATACTAAATATCTTCTCTGCTTTTGTCTTTTAAAAGGTAAAAATTAAAATCATTTTGAGTTCTGAGGGTAACACAAAAAGAAGAAAATGTCAGAAGACGCTGAGAAGTTGATCTTCATATCGGCGTTGTTCCCTGGATTCAGATTCTCTCCCACCGACGTCGAACTCATCTCTTACTACTTACGCCGTAAAATCGGCGGCGACGATAACTCTGTAGCCGTGATCGCCGAGGTCGAGATTTACAAGTTCGAGCCGTGGGATTTGCCAGGTTTCTTCACCATTTTCCCATTCTTTATATTATAGTCATAAAAATAAGATAATACATAATTATCTTAATGATTTTAATTATCTGCTATATTGCAGTAATGAAAATGGCAAAGAGTTTTGTAAAGATGTTATGAGTTCATTGCAGAAAATAGCATTTTTTGAATTACTAATTACAGAAATAACACTTTAGGACATCATAGCACTTATTGTTATTGTTATTGTTATCAAATTGTTCGGTTATGGAGGCTCTTAAGTATTTTTTTAATGTGTAACATCAAACCAAGTCTTATTTTATTTTAAAACTTTAATAACGAAACAGGGGAATCGAAATTAAAATCTGAGAACGAGTGGTTTTACTTCTGCGCAAGGGGAAAGAATGGGTCACAAAGCCGGAGAGTCACACAGCTTGGTTACTGGAAATCTACTGGTCAAGTGCGAAGCGTGAAATCGGGGAACCAAATTGTTGGAACCAAGAGAATGCTTGTTTTTCACACCGGTCGGGCTCATCGAAACGAGAGAACAGAATGGTTTATGCATGAATATTGCATCCATGGAGCAACACAGGTCAAAATATTTGAATTTAGAATTTTGATTGTTGTGAGAAAATAAATGCTGAAATAGGCGGATTTCACAGGACGCATTAGTGGTGTGCCGGTTAAAGAAAAATACCGATTTTCGAGCTAGTTCGAGCCAAACACCAATGGATAATGGTCATGTGCAAGATGATGAATACGTTGGCCAAACTGGTGGTTCGGAGATGCAGAACAATTCTTATTCGGTTTATGAACCTGAGCTTCATATACCAAATGGTGACATCGTAGAATCATCAAATGTTGTTGAGGTTAGATCTTTTTTCTAATAAGATATGTTTTTGTTTTTCAAGATTTTTTTTTTGGTAATTTTAGAGTTTATAATTTGTAACTGAAGTTGAACTCTTTTCTTTGGAGTGTAGGATCAAGCCGACACCGATGATGATTGCTACGCCGAGATTATGAACGATGATATAATAAACCTTGACGAGGAGGTATTGAAAGCTAGCCTAGCATTTCGACCAAATTATCAACAAACAATATCCAGCGAGGCCTCATCGAGTAGGAAAAGGTTAGAATGTGGTTCAAATAAAAAACCAAAGCAAACAATGGACGTTGCCGAAACCGCCTCCTTCGGTTGGAGAATACCGAACCCGTTCCGAATCAAGAAAAATGATAACCAGAGGTCGATGACTGGCTATCTAGCTACTACTGCTTTACTGGCTATCTTAATTTCTGTATTTTTTACTATCTTAACAACTAGGGGAGATAGTTAGCTTTGTGTTATGCAGTGTGACTTATGTTTTTTCTTCTGACTCGCACTTGTTAGTATTTGTACTACGACTCTACGATACATGATTACATCAATAGAGTCACTTCACGACTTTTGTATATTTTTTCTCTCTGTTTTGTTGGGGACCGAGTAGTTAATTTAATGTCTGAAAATGTTTTCTATAGCCCGCATGACTGTGGTCTAGTAGTAAGAAGGACTGTGTGGGATGTTACACCACTTCATCCGATCCTCTTAGAAACAGAAACACATTTGTGTGGAAAGTTTGGACTTAGTTTACACACTACTAACAGATAATTTGACATTAGTCGAAAAGCATTTCAAATTTGGAATAAGCAGTATGGTAATTCACTGAATCTCATAGGTCTCATGACCTGTTGACCTAAGTGCACTCAAAACTCTTTGTTGAACCGTTTGAACGTGGATAATCAGTCTTTGTAATATTTCGTTGTGTTCCTACCAAGACTGACCGGAACAGCAAAATGTTATTGGAAATAAGATTCTTCCAAAATAATTCAAAATAATTCACAATCGTGGATTGTGAAAACTAATAATTGACCAAAGTCATAAAAAAATTTATTGAATTAGTAGAACATTTCCAATTTAAAAAAATTCTAAAAATATTTAAAAATACATATGATTACAAGTTTTTAGTCATCTCACACTAAATTTTTATTTATTTGGTCAACAGCATAAATACTTTAAAACAGTTTAAAAATACAAACTAGTAATATCGAGTTTATATATACAATATCATCAGAGTTGATATGAGCATTTCATGCTAACTTATGGTAGAATTTTCAAATGTTGTTGAAGGCACAAAAGCTTGGATAAAAAACAGAATAGGTAGAAATCTATAAGGAGGAACTGGGAAGTACCTTAGACTTCTTGAATGCTTGAGCGGTTCGAAAAAGCAACTTTTTGTCCAAATTAAAGATAACGTACGTACAAGGGATATTGGTATGCAAAAAAAAAAAATGTCCCAAGGAGGTAAAGAAGTTCTTTCCAAGTAACTAGCGATGGCAATACCGGTGTATCATATATGTCATGGCTTGAGTCAAACTTCCAGTGGATCTGTGTAAGAAGATCATAAGTGCGATGATGGAGTTTTGGTGGAGCTCAAAGGAAAAATAAAAAGAAGATCTATTGGGTTAGATGGGAAAAACTCACTTTACCTTAGAAGTTTAGAGGTCTCAGTTTCAAGGATCTAATCGCTTATAATAAGCCTTGTTACCAAAAGAAGCTTGGAGACTCATTCATGATCCGACAAGTCACTTTGGTATGTTTTTCAAGAGCCGATAGTTTTCCAACACGTAGTTCTTAAGTGCTCTGAAGGGAGTTCGACCGTCCTACACATGGAGAAATATTCTCTTAGCAGGCCCGTGCCTATGTTAATCAATAAGAAGCATTGGCCTACGAGCCCTACTTTTATAAAAAAAATCTAAGGTCCAAAATACTAACATAGGTAGTAGCAATAGATTTTAGTTAAATATTGGATTCAATTTTTAACTATTAAAAAATTAGGGTAATGAAATGGTAATTTAGTTGACCGCTTATTAACATATACAATGTTTATTATTTTTTTTATAAAAAAAATCCCACATTGGTAAGATGTTAGCATAACTAAAGTTTTGTAATATTATATATACCTCTCTATAATTTATTCTCACTATTCACAATACATTATTATCAGAACAATAGTCTTTAGATATTTGTTTCTATCTTGGAAAAGTTGAGATTTAGTTTAAAGAATTAAGTATCGTAATTTTTATATATTTCTCAGCTTTTTCGGCCTTTTGGCTAAGATCAAGTATAATATATATTCTTATCATTTTAATATATGATTTCATGATATTAACTCTATCATAATTTTGTTTCTTTTGCTAATTTTTTGTAATTCTTTTTTTTCTTCTAGATATCTCTAAACAACTTTAAAAAACCATTAAGTGGATATGATAAAAGAAAACTTAAACAAAAAAGAGAAGAAAAAGACAATTCTCAAGCAAATGTGTTTTAAATTTTGTTAACTTTGTTTTTTTAGGATTATAATTTTTATTTTTGGTTTTATATAAATTGAGATGATGATTTATTATTTATTCAATACGATTTGGATTGATTTTATATGGATTTGCGATGATGAAGATCTTTTTTTTAAGTTTGCTTACGGGCTTCATATCTCTGGGAACGGCTCTGTCTCTTAGGGAGAGAGCTTCTAGCCAAAGGTTTAGAACGTTCTAGAATGGTAGAAAGACATTAGTGTGGGACTGTGGGTGGACAATTGGCTTCATGACAGGTTACCAAGCCGACTAGCTAGGAGGGAGACATTCTTTGATGAATATAGGCTTGACATTAGCGGAGTTGATTGATACTTACACAAAAAAATTGGAATATCCAAATGATTTATGATCAGTGACAAGAGGAAATCACTTTGAATTGCTCACAGAGACCTTTCCCGTGAAGAGAAGATGGATATATTTGGGTTGAGTCGAGAAATGGCATATACTTTCTGCATTGGGTATGAATTAATTTATCAGTTCGAAGAAGCATAAGACGCTATTTATTCATGTCACAGCAGCACCATTAGTGAGAACAACTCCTCAAATCAAGCTATTTCTGTGGAAAGTTCTCATTGATTCGCTGGTAGTAACATAACGATTACAAACCAGAGGAGTTAAGTGTGATTTGGGATGTTTATTACTCTGATGAAAAGACCAAAAAGTTAGAAATGGGCTCTAGAAAGTATGAAGAGTCTCATTTTGATGAATATCACCTTTGCGGCTTCATCTATGGAAGTTATCAAAGCCTTGCACAAACCTTACTTTTGTTTTGTTTTAGGGAGGGAAGCAAATTGCCGCGGTGTGATTGTTGCTTCTTTTTCCTCTGTTTTATCTTGTTATTTCGACTGATTATGTGGCATTCTGGTTTTTCTCAAGTAGCACATAGAGTAATATAGAGTGAGTTCTTGAGCTTGTGTGGCTTGCTTACTCTCTACGTACGTAGCAGTCAAAATGTAGGAAATTGTTATACAAAACAAAAGTTAAATCCTAGATATAATTGTTAAAAATGCTGAGAAAGAAATCCAAACATACTTGAGGCCGACATTGACATTATTAAAAGAATAACATGAAGATTAATATAACTATAGATAAATAATACGAGCCTAGATTGTGCACATAATCTTTGCTTTTAGAACCTTTAGCAAATATAAAACACATACTTAGGTTAGTAAAAACGAATCAGACTTGTGTTAATATTATTAATAGATTACAACAATAATTTAAGCCTCTGTAAATTAAATGAGAGAGAAGTACTTCAACTCTGGGTTTAAGATATAACTTCAACGCTGGGTTTATTCGTCCTTTCCACACAGCATCTGCCACGTCATCCTTTACTCTGTTGAAACCGCCAAATAATCAAAATTCAAAACCTTTAAGTCTCTGCTTTTGCATGTCTATAAATCAAAAGCATTTTGAGTTCTAAGCAAGAAAAAGAAAAGAAGAAAAATGTCAGAAGAAGTTGACAAGTTGATCGTTTTATCGGCGTTGTTCCCTGGATTCAGATTCTCTCCCTCCGACATCGAACTCATATCGTACTACCTACGCCGTAAAATCTACGGTGACGAGAATTCTGTAGCCGTAATCGCCGAGGTCGAGATTTACAAGTTCGAGCCATGGGACTTACCAGGTTTCTTTACCATTTTCCAACCTCTTTATCGTAATAATACATATTTATCTTAATAATTCTTGAACTACATCAAGAAGAAAGGAGAAAAAGTTTTGTTACTGTTGTTTAATTGCTCTATTACATAAACTTATAAGTATTTTGGTGTAACATCAAACCAAGTCTTAATTTATTTTAACCGGTTACTTTAACCAGGGGAATCGAAATTAAAATCGGAGAACGAGTGGTTTTACTTCTGTGCAAGGGGAAAGAAATATCCTCATGGGTCACAGAGTGGGCGAGCCACACAAGTTGGTTACTGGAAAGCTACCGGTAAAGTGCGAACCGTGAAAGTAGGGAACCAAACTGTTGGAACCAAGAGAACACTTGTTTTTCACATTGGTCGGGCTCCTAGAAGCGAGAGAACCGAGTGGATTATGCATGAATATTGCATCCATGGAGCCCCAACGGTAAAATTTTGTGGATTTTAGAATTTTGATTGTTGTGAGAAACATATGTTGAAAATCTTGAGCAGGATGCATTAGTGGTTTGCCGGTTGAGGATAAATACCGGTTTTCAAGCTAGTTTGAGCCAAAGACAAGTGGAGAATGGTTATGTGCAAGATGATGAATACGTTGGCCAAAATGGTTGTTCGGAGATGCAGAACAACTATGAACCTGAGTTTGAGATATCATATGATGACATCGCAGAATCATCAAATGTTGTTGAGGTCAGATTTTTTTTGTTTAGATATGTTTTTCTTTTTAAAGAATTGTTTTTTTTTTTAATTGTAGAGCATATTTTGTAACTGAAGTTGAACTCTTTCTTTGGCGTGTAGGGTCAAGCCGACACTGATGATGATTGCTTCGCCGAGATTATGAACGATGATATAATAAAGCTTGACGAGGAGGCGCTGAAAGCTAGCCAATTATTTCAACCAAATTATCCGACTCAACAAGACATAGTATTTAGCGAGGCATCATCAAGTAAAAAGAGGTCAAAACGTGGTATAAGAAAGAACCAAAGCAAACAATGAATTGTTATGCTTTGTTCAGGATCACGAACGTTGCCGAAACCACCTCCTCGGGCCAAGAGAATGCGGAATCAGTTCCTTGTCAAGAAAGATGATAGCCAGAGATTGATGAAGAATGTTCTAGCTACTACTTCTTTCTTGGGTATCTTCTTAATTTCTGTTTTTTTGTTATTGTCTTAACAACTAGGAATTATAGTTAGTCATGTGTTATGTTTTCTTCTATCTCGCACTTATTTGTACTACGTAAACCGTTTTTCTTCATTTTTCTTTGTTGTCTGCTGTTTTTTGTTAGGTTTGTCATTAGTTTCTTTTCGATTAATCTGCTATCTTTATAATCTTTATAACGTTTGTCAAAAATCATATAATTATTACATTTTTACAAAAAAAAATTCACGTGTTTTGTATTTTGTTTTTCTCTGTTTTGTTGAGGGGACCGAGTAAGTAATTTATGTGCTTGTAGATATTTGATATTAGACGCGTTATAAATGAATGGATAAGAATAAGATACGTGTGTCAAAACTCAAAACTCAAAACAACCACATCCTCTTAACTTTTTTTTACCCATGGATAAGAATCATAAGATAGACTTCCATTTTTTGGTATATCGTTATTAATTTTCAGATGATTAGCTTAGCAACTTGGTTAACACTAATTCAAACTACAACAAATTGATATATAATATATATATGTATAATTAAGTTGGTCAAAATTAATTCAACTACATAATCCGCATTAGACAAATTCAAATGCAATATCCTTTTTGTTGCTGAAACAATGGCGATGATTCTGCAAATCCCTCCTTCTTCCTTGTTGAACCCTAGAATCCGATTCCACTCTTCAATTCGAACTTCGTCTGAGTCTAATACCAAGAAATTCAGATGCAGAGCCGTCCGAGAGAAAGCCGAAGAGATTGAGAAAGAGAACACTTCGTCTTCTTCTTCTTCTTCGTCTCCTTCTTCTTCTTCAGCCGAGGAAGTCACGAAGAAATATGGACTCGAAATTGGTCTATGGAAGGTCTTTCTTCCTCCATATTCGTTTTTTCTACTTCAATTTTCTGGGTTTTCGCTTTCGTTCTTTACATATATCAAACGAATCGAAATTGGTAAAAAGGAATTCGTAATCTGAATGATAATTTGATAGTTTCGTGGGTCATTAATTATCCCTATATGCAACGATTTTGACAAATTTTTGGTTCTAATGAATATATGAGTAGATATTGAGCTCAAAGGATGAAGAAATTGATGGAGAGAAGAAGAAGAAATCAAAGACAGATGAAGCTAAGGAGTTACTTGCTAAGTATGGTGGTGCTTATCTTGCTACATCCATTACTCTTTCGCTTATTTCATTCTCACTCTGCTACGCACTCGTCACTTCCGGTGTTGATGTTCAAGCTCTTCTTCTCAAGGTTTCATTCACTTCTTGTTCATACTTAAAGTTGTGTTTTTTCTTGAGGGGGTTGATGCTCTTTGGGGATACTTTGTGGGTTTTATGCTTGAAACTATTCTTCTCAAGGTTTCATCCTCTTCATGTACATACTTAAAGTTATGTTTTTTCTTGAGGGGTTTGATGATCTTTGGGGATATTTTTTGGCTTTTGTGTTTGAAGCTCTTCCCCCCAAGGTTTCATTCTATTCATGTACATACTTAAAGTTATGTTTTTTCTTGAGGGGTTTGATGATCTTTTGGGATATTTTGTGGGTTTTGTGTTTGAAGCTCTTCTTCTCATGGTTTCATTCACTTCTTGATTATACTTAAAGTTATGGTTTTTTCTTGAGGGGTTTGATGATCTTTGGGGATATTTTGTGGGTTATGTATTCGAAGCTCTTCTTCTCAAGGTTTCATTCACTTCTTGTACATACTTAAACTTGTGTTTTTTCCTTGACGTGATTGAGTAAAAGCTGAATTGGGTGTATTGAAGTTGATAATCTTGGTTATTGGAGTGAAAACTAATTTGGGTATTTCTGGTGTTTGAAGGTTGGGATTTCGACGAATGAGACAGGAGAAAAAGTAGGAGCCTTTGCTCTGGCTTACGCGGCGCATAAAGCTGCATCGCCGATAAGGTTTCCGCCTACGGTGGCACTTACTCCTATTGTAGCAAATTGGATTGGGAAGAAAGTGGAGAAGGAGAAGGATGATTAGTGTTTTCCCTTAGCTTATTTGGAGGTATTAAAATGTAAATGTTATAATCACTATATACAGATACTAGACATTGGAAACATTCCTGAATCCTCACTTTCTCTCTACCTTTTATGTACAAAAATTTAAGCATCCGAGTATGATGATGAGTGAGTTAGAAAGATAAGTTCATACGACACAGAACCAAAGAGTGGGAAGAATCCAAGTTGTGAGATAGCTTTTAAACTTGTCCATGTGAGATCTGGTTGGTCTTGTTAGGCATCTGATAGAGGCAGTAGTAGTAGTAGTCTTCATCCACCTGAATTGTCTTACATGAAAATGGTTAGGAAGGATCTCTGTGATTCAGCATATGACTTGGATGCAGTTTGACAAACCGACGAATAAAAAGTAAGCTAAAAACTTGGAAATGGATCGGTTAAAGTTATGAAATCATCTAATGGTGTGGAAAGAAAAAAAAAGGCAATTTATACTCCATCTTGTGGTCAAAGATACACAGCATTGCCCAAATTAGAGTCTCCAAGACTTAGTCCACGAAATTCTGTTGTCCTTAATGCTAAATTGCTCATCTTGCTTTCTTTGATATTGATATTGTATGGTCTTTTGATGGCTTGCTCTCTCGAGCGTTACACTTTTATGCTTGTGCATGATTTACAATGTCTAGATGCTTTAGGTCCAAGCATTAGCACAAATTTTCATTTCGAACTTTCTGAATAAATTACATAAGCCATGCAAAATTTCAAGTGAATCTGAATTCTGAACTATCTGATAGTCAAGGTATGATAAAATGGATGGCGAAAAGAATTTTTCTAATGCCGATTGGATTATTGAAAATGCTCAATTTTGTATAATTGTATCGCATACATTCAAAAATCGTATTACTTAGTTACTGTCCCGCATCGTGGGCAATGAGTATCATAGTTTGGAAATGTCCAATAGCTTAAGGAGGCTCCCAAGTCCAAACAACTTCAGCTTTGAGAAGTTTCAAAGAGAATCGTTGAGAGGTAATAAGACCTCTTGGATTATATCGAGTAGAATCAGAGTCGGTGCTGATGTAACAAACAAATATATTTTAGTCTTAAAATTTAGAACAAAAGAAAATTGTTTACGAAAAATAGTTTCCACACTATGATACACATTGCCCACGATGCGGGACAGAATATTATATATCAATATATCATCATGCAGATTCTAAAAAAAAAGTCTGCCCCTTTTTATGTGATTGAAGAAACTTTGGGTTTGGTTGATATTTGCGATTCTCAGACTCTACAGTTTGTCTGGAATTGCGATTCTCAGACTCTACACTTTGAGAGGTCTCTAATAAAATGTATCACTATACTTTAAAGAAAAAAGACTCTCAAAAGAAAAACAAAACTTAGCTATAAATTAGGTTTCAAATGTTTTTATAGAAAATAAAGATTAACCGAATCTATCTGAGACAAACAGAGTCGATTTGGGCTTTTGAATCTCATGTTGCATGTATTGTCATCTACGCATAACGATTTCGTCAACTGTTAAGAGAAATGTATAGTTTTATTTCATTTAACGAAGAAATACAGATTGAGATAGGTCTGAAACTCTCAGATACTGATTCAACCTGAAAAATTTGATTCACAAGAACAGATTCTTGTAATCGCAAAGTTGCAGAGACAATGAGCTCTAACAACTCCTAATAATCAAAATACAATTCGATAATCCAAAACAGATTAATAAACAGTTCACTCGATACTATTCTATCTCCTTTTTCACTGCTTCTGTTGACTGTTGACCCTTTCACTTGTCCATGTCAGCTTCTTCACACTAATCAGTTATTCGTTTCCTTCTGATCTTCTTCACAACTCTCCTCTTTTGCTTAGTATATACTTTTAGTGGCTTATCAATACCCGTCTCGCTAAGACGAAGCTTGTCCTCAAGCTTCAGATGTCGAAATTGATGAATTAACATTAAAGCTTTTTCCCATGAAGTTTCATGTGATGGTAGGCCAGTCCAACTGATCAAAGCTTCCAAATGACCATCCTCATCATAGCGAGTATCCAATATCTCAGCCGGTTCCATTACTAATTCATCATTCACATATAAAGTCTCAAGAAGTTCAGTCACCAAATGATTTTGACCCAAGACTGGTTTTAACTGTGAAACATGGAATACATCATGGATCTTCGAGTCTTCCAGAAGTTTAAGACGATAAGCAACAGCTCCCACACGAGCCACAATCTCAAGCGGGCCATAATAGTGTGCAGCCAGCTTCTGACATATACGGCGAGAGACAGATTGTTGTCTGTACGGTCGCAGCTTCAAGAAAACTCGATCTCCCACGTTGAACTCCAACTTCCTTCTGTGCTTGTCAGCATTGTTCTTCATTCTGACCTGAGCTAAGCCCAAATGAGCCTTTATTTGTGTTAACATCGAATCTCTCTCACGTAGCATTGCGTCTAATCAAAGTTGGATGTTGAACCATGTTCGAACTTAAGCAAACTCGGAGGGGCTCTTCCATAGACAAGTTGGAATGGTGTTGTTTCTAATGCCGTATGATGATTAGTGTTATTTTGCCCAAGTTTTAGAAGTGCAGATGCAAAGCATCGCAAATAGGTTTCCAGACAACGATTTAGGACCTCTGTTTGTCCATCTGAGTGTGGATGATATGCAGTACTAAATTTCAGCTGTGTACCAGCTTGCTTGAACAATTCCTTCCAGAATGAACTTAAGAACACTTTATCTCTGTCAGAAACAATGGTGGCTGGGAATCCATGTAGCCTTACCACTTTCTGAATGAACTTTAATACCATATCTTCAGCTGTAAAAGGATGCTTGAGCCCAATGAAATGAGCAAATTTTCTCAGTCGATCAACGACCACCAATATCACATTGAAGTTCTGAGATAGTGGTAATCCCTCAATAAAATCCATTGAGATGTCCTCCCAAAATGAATTCGAAATAGGTAGGGGCTGCAGTAGACCCGGTGGTGATAGTGTTAAATATTTGTTCTTCTGGCAACACTGCATTCAGCCACATATTTTTGAATATCTGCAGTCATTTTCTTCCAGTAAAAAACCTGTTGGATTCTCCTTGTTGTCCACCAACTACTTCATCATGGTATAGTTGTAAGATTAAAGGGATATGAGCTGATTTCCTCGGTAACACCAGTCTCCCTTTATATAGTAACTTGGTATCAATTACCGCACGATCTGGATAGTCTGCAAGTTTGGCTAGCATGAGAGATTTCAGGTTCTGAATGTCTTCATCTGTCTCAATTTTTCATTGATTCAGTCTTTGCCAGATCTGTTGCTACACCTCGAGCTGATATAACATGATCCAGATATTCTACCTGCCCTTGTCCAAATAAACACTTCTTCTTATTTGCCAACAGTTGTTGTTCCACAAACATCCAAAACAGTTTGTAAGTATTGGACGTGTTCTTCAACATATGCACTGAACACCAAAATATCATCAAAAAAAACAAACGAATTGTCCCAAGAATAATCTGAACAACTCATTCATTAATGCCTGATAACATTTCGGAGCATAACTTAACCCGAATGTCATTACCAGAAATTCGTAATGGCCATTAAATGATCTGAAAGCAGTCTTTTCGATATCTCTCTCTTCCATTATGATTTGGTGGTATTCTGATCGAAGGTCCAATTTCAAAAATACTTTTGCTCCATTTAGCTCATCTAATAATTAGTCGATCATGGGTATAGGGAACTTGTCAGGTATCATGATTTTTTTCAGAGCCCTGTAATCTATACAAAAACGCCAACTCACATCTTTCTTTTTCACCAGCAATACTGGACTTAAGTATGGACTCCTGCTCGGTCGAATGATACCATCAGATAGCATTTTTGTAACCAATTTTTCCATCTTTTCTTCATAGGCTTGTGGGTACCTATAGGGCCTAACACTTATTGGTCCAGCTCCAGCTATTTGGTTAATAGCATGTTCGTGTCCACGAATAGGAGGGAGTTGAGTAGTTTCTGCAAAATTTTCATATATTTTCCCAATAAGTGCTCAATTGGTTCTGGAACTACCATTTCTTCTACTTTCTTTTCTGCATAAAACTGTTCCATGTCGAATCCAATTGATTTCTGCATAAACTTTAGGGAATTATTAGTGTCATGGAGAGAAGGATCACCAATGAGTTTCACAGTCACTCCTCTATGATTGAACGAAATCTCGTGGTTCTCCCACTCCATTTCACACTTCCTAAGCGTCCTTAACCACTATACTTCTAAGATAATATCATTGTTTCTCAACTCCAATACAATGAAATCGACTTGAAACTCATTAGATTGCAAAGTGAATGGTATCTGTTTGCAAACACTTGAGCCTCTTGCAGTGATTCCTGTGCCCAAAAGGATATCTAAATTGTTGTACTGCTTCAGGTTTATCTTAGCTTTTGCCACCACTGATGTATCAATAAAGTTTTGGTTTGCTCCACTATCAACATAACTACAATATAACTTCATAGTTTAGTTGTCCTTGGTCAAGGCCGTGCCTATGAAGTAGAAAAAAAAACATTCACCTACGGGTCTACTTGTTTTTTCAAAAATAAAGTGCCCAATTTTCTAATTAAATATATTAATTGTTAGTAGTAGAAAAAAATTCTTTGTAGAAAATTAATGATTATGTAAAAATAGATAACTTATTAAAAAATATTTTAACAACACAATAAAAATATTAAGTCGACACATATAGTAATTTAAACAATTAGAAAATTAAAAATTTATTGTTTTTTTCTTAATTGAAATCTTACGCAACTCACTTATTCTTTTCACAATAACAAAATAATCAATTAATATGTTCTAATTGCTAAATATTTTTTTATTACAATTTTGTTTTATCTAATTTAAATTTAATTTGATTTATGATTTATACTAAATTTAAAGAAAAACTCAAATAATTGGTTAATTTATCAACTTCAAAAAAATATGATTTAGATTTTAGATTGGAATATGTTTAAAATTGTAGATATGTATTATAGTTTTATGAATTTTGAAAATAATAATGTTATATTATTTATATGTATTATTAGTTTTATTTGAACTTGGAAAATTAATGATTATTATTTGTTTTATATGAATTAAATTGATTTTCTATAAATTAGGGACAATGATATATAGATTAATAGGGCTCCC